CTCCATCTTCAGTTGGAGCTTGAACCCGCTGAGGTCACTTTCTCTGTTTCAGCACTTAGCTTGCCGTCAAACCCTTCCACAAGTGATTCCAGAAGTGCCTTCACTCCGCTGCATTCGTGTCCCGCTGGTAGTCCAATCACTCCGCAATTGTCACAGAAGGTCGCGCTTTGGGATTCATGTGGCGATGATGGTCCCAAGTGAAGTTTCAAATCTCCCAAGTTCCTCTTGCTCCTCAATCTTCTATCTTTGTTCCGTAGGGAACAATTGACAACCTTATGGCCCTCCTCTCCACAATAAAAACAAGTTTCACGTTTGACTCTTGGAGATTGACTCACTACTCTTTCTTCAAACTCTACCTTGAATTCTCTTGTATTGGAGTCTAAAGACACTATAACATCCAAGCCTTGAGGTACTTTGGATAACCTAATCTTCCAACCTTCTTGTTCACTCATTTTCCCATAAGATAGAAACCACTCAAAAGACCTCTCCCAGAAACGCTATCTACTTGACGAAAACTGTGAATGAAGAAATCAAAAACTTTTGCTTTGTTATCTTGCTTTTGTACCCCCTCAACTTCAAATCAACATAACTTCGTCTCTAGACGTGATCTCTCAGTGAAATTTTGACTCAAACGTAGCTTATCTTCTAATACACACTTGTACGAAGTTTCAAAGCCTAAATTGAAATACAGAAAAAGTAATCAACTCTGTACAAACTTTCCAGAGAGCAGACTTTTGATACCCGTGAAAACCCACTCAACTTCTAACTCTCATATCTTTCTGTTAACACATGATCTGGACCTGAAACAAAAACGTAAATTTTCTCTATCTTTCACTCTAAAATCAATAAAAACTTTGAAGAATACCTTCAAAAATACTTTTCGGTGTCTAAGATCACTTTTCTCTCAAAAAGACATGTTTACGTGAACAAAACATACAAAATCACTTCTAGGCTATCATATGAGACTATGGGATAAACAAATGGAATTTCGCTCTCAAGCACACTCTCCGCTCTTTCATTCCCCAATGTTAACACCAAGTGATCCCTCATGGATACTTTCTCTCGAGCTAGAAATCGAATCCTAAACATTCCGCCTTCTAGATTGAGGTCCCGGCAACGGAACCAAAAATGCAACCTCCGGGCTGACTCTCACTCAGGTTTACCTCTGATGGCTTTGTGGTAGCGCATCATGGTTCTAGAAGACTAAGATTCATACTCTCACTCATGTCCCAAACACCTTCTCTTACAAACTCTCATGTATCACTCCAACTCACACACAAACTCTCCTCACATCACCCTCTTCACATAAATGCAAACACACGTCGATACTCCAAGATACTCAAAAACTTCACTCCTTCATTACTGAAACAAGTCCTCACACATGACTCTCCAAACTTGCTTGAGAGGTGCTACTCTACCTCTCTATTTATACTACTTGAGAAGTTACCATAGTAACATGTGGTAATTTCTCCTAACTTACTTTTACCTAGGTAAGTTTGACTAACCTTCTCTACGTGGCAACATGCCATTGGCCTACCTAAACCTTCTAGAAGCTTCCGGAATCCAAGGTTGAGGTGGCGACATGCCATTGGAAGCTTTTAAACTTCTACAAGCTTCCTAGCCACTAAGTCAACATTAGACTTAGTCTAGCCAATCATCTTTCATACATTTAGTCAAACCAATCAAATCCAAGCTTCTAGTCAAATATCTAATCCCTTGGAATCTAGAACTTTTGTATAAGACAAAATAGAAGTGCTCACTCCTTGTAAAAGACAAAATAGAAGTGCTCACTCCATTCTTCTAGAACTCCGCTAATTATTCCGCCAACTATAGACATTGTAGCTAAACTTAGTCATGACTAGATAAACTTAGTTATAACTAACTAGTTTAGTCATAACTAGCTAGTCTTAGCTATGCCTTGGCTAATCATCCTTATTCCCTTGACCACTTCTAAGACTTAGTACATATGTGCAACACCCGGTCTTACAGTACAGAGGATGATGATGATTGTCCATTGATCTTGGAAGAGAAAAACTTTTTTTTACAAAAAAGCTCAAGCTTCTGTCAATAATCTTGAGTCCTATGATGTTATGGAGCGTGAGATGTAGTAGATGAATGACAACAAGATTTGAAATCTAGTTGAGCTTCCTAAAAATCAAGCTTTGATTGATTGTAAGTGGTTGTACAACCTAAATGATAATCCAATAGGTGACATGGAGAGTATCTTCAAAGTCAAGTAAGTGGCTAGAGGTTTTACACACGAGAAAGGTGTGAAGTAAAACAAATTTTCTTGCATGTAGCAAAATATGCTACAATTAGTTTGATATTCGCACTGATTGAATTATTTAGTCTTGTTATGGATGAAAACGTAGTTACAACATTTTCTATAAAATAATAGGGCAAAAAATCTACATGAAACAACCCGTTGACTGAGAGAAGAAAGTTCACAAAAAGTTGATTTGTAGATTGCTGAAATCATCATATGGATTGAAACAAGCTCCTAAATAGTGAAATGCAAGATTTGACAAGTTTATAAAGTCATAAGGTTTTTCACTAAGCATGTATCATCTTTGTTTATACATGAAAAAATTACTAGAATAATAAAAATGAAGATTTTATTATTCTAGTATTTTACGTCTATAACATGTTCAACGTGATAATGTTTCAATAGATTCAAGAATCAATTGAAGTTTCCATTCAAGATGAAGGATCCGAGTGAATGCAAAAAAATATTACAGTTGAATATTTGTAGATGACTAGATTGTCATATTTTTTCTATGACAAAGCTGTGAGCAACCTCATGTTTTTGATGATGTGCACAAGGTCTAATATTGCTTTAGCTATGGTCATATGAATAGGTATATGTCAAATTCAACAAAGATGCTTTGGCAAACAGTGAAATGAATTTGTAGGTTTTTAAAAAATACATAGAAATATGATGTATTGTTTAATGGTTTATTAGACATGCCAAATACTTGCTAGATCACGTTGATGTTAACTATGAAAAAGATTTAGACAAGGGGAAATCTATAACAAGGTATGTGTTTACACTTGATGATGAATGCATTAGTTGGAGATCAAATTTGCGATAGTGCGTAACTTAATTTAAAATAAAGTTGAGTATTCAAAAGCAACAAAAGCAAAAAAGAAACATGTTAGATTGAATAAATTTATCATTGAGATGAGATTAAAACATGAGGTTGACAATCTTCACTGTGATAGCCTGAATGCGGCTACTCTTGCTGCAAATCAAATAATGTACAATAGAGTGCAACACATTGATAATAGCTATGGCATTATTAGACATGTAGTTTTTGATCAAATCATTGCGCTAATCAAGATTGACAGTATATACTATGTAACTTATGCATTAATCAAAGTTTTATCTTTTGAAAATTTTAGTATATATTTTGTTACTATACAAGTATTTAACGAGTAACACAAATAGAGTTTACTTACAAATTTAGTTAACTCTATATATATTTTTACTATATCATGTTTTTGATACAACTTAGCTTTGATTAGCTCTGGTATAAAGTTTAGCATGTGTTAGATTTCAATATAGGATTTTTCAGAGTGTATTTATGTAGATTATGGAGTCTATTGTACCTCCGACATGACTTAAGAAAAAATTGTGAGCGTTAACTACTGTCATGAATGTTGTTGACTGTTGTTAATGTTGAGAATGAACGTGAATTTGGGTTTGAGTCTCAGCGAGACTACTTAGGGCGGTGAAAAGTAGCTCTTTGCGTTAAACATCAACAATAAAACACGTGATCCAGTTTATGTATCCAAGTGACAAATCACATTATTTTTTGAGTGTACTCTTGTGTTTTCAATTATTATTTTTTGCTTTCACACGAATTTGATTCTATAGTATAATCTTAGTCTAAAGTAATTATTTTATAATCTAGTGAATTAAATGAGTTTAATAAATTTAGTATAACATAAAATTAATTTAATTGATAAAACATATCAAAAAAAATTCATCCAATGATAAAAATGGATTTTATTCTTGGATTAAAGGTCTTTGAATCTTTGTTAAAATTATAGCTAAAACTTTTAACTTTATAAATTACACTATGTAAAAAATTTTAATTAGCAATTCAAATATCTTTAAAATCAATAGTACTAAAAAAGAATAATTTGAATATTTTCAATTATGTTCAGATCAATATCATTATAAATATTGTTAGAATATGAAAAATTATTATAGATTAGAAAAGAGAATCAATATTAATCAATATTATGAGTTTAAGTAACTTCAAAATCCTTTACATACTTTTATGTGTAGATGATTGTGTTGATTTACAATATCATAATCAGATCTTTTTAATGATGAATATGATCATTATGTTTTAAAAAAAGCATAAAATCGAAATTTACTAATTTTATTTTATCAAAAAAATGTGAAAATCCAATGAATAAAACTTACTATATTCTTTGTGCAAAAGAACCTGTTTTCCTTATTATTAGATAATTTATATCTGAGTGCTAGTATTTCAAATCAACATTTACAAACCACAGTAATTCAAAACTAAATTTATTATTATATTATGAATTTTAACCAATTTTACTTAAATATCATGATTTTTTGCAATAAATTAAAAAAATTGTTTTTAATAAAATGTTATCTACATATATTCACTTGTGATGTTTGTACATCAGTTCCAACATGTTCAAATCTCTGTGAAGATAAAAAAATTGTTAATTTTGTGGGCATAATGTACTAAAATATTGACTAGATAACAAGAAGTTGACAAAAGATATGATTATTAAAAAGCCAAAATGACACTTACTACACCAAAGCTACTCTAATCAGCTTAACAATTAAGCTCTTGCTCTATGAACATCTTACAGTTGATGCTTGGGGTCAGGGTAGAATGATAAGAGTCAATGGAGCCCGAGTGGAGTGCATTGTCTACTCCCTTTAGGCTGATCACCCGCAGAGATCATATAACAATGTAAAATTCATTGAGACCAACAAATATATAGAAGTCTCTTTCTTGAATGTGCGCTAAAATTTGCCTGCATGCCTGGGGTGGTATTGCAGGTTTCATAAATGAGACTATAACACGGCAATACAGGACAATCCGGTCGGGTTTCTGCAATGATCTCTGATATCAGTTATGATTCATAACTGATGAAGTATTGTGGGTCGCTGAACATGTTGCCTTGGGCGATTAGTGTGTCTCGCAGAATCTGTCTCTGGCGTCCAGGATGCAGTCCGATGTTCGAACAGTTACGTTGTGTTCTGACCGATCTGCCACCGTCCTGTCAAATCTGGCGGTGGTGGAGGTGAGGGTGACAATGTCACGCATTAACTTTCAATTCTGTAGCATGATTAATTACCAATGTCAACGCTTTCATTGCGTACTTGACTTTTTCCTAAGAGGGTGAGCAGGGAAAGGGAATAGCAGCCCGTGGGACTCTGAGAAAATGCAATCCTCTGGTCATGTTTGTAGCTCTCGCCACTGAAATCACCAACACCAAAATCTAGACGACGAAGACTTTTTTCTGTACGTACCATGATGACGTCGCTGCTTCTTTACTTGCAACAGAACTTGAGAACATTCAATAAACGCTCTTGGTATTACCGTACGCTGCATCCAAAGGAAAGAAGGCAGGCAGAGGCAGGCAGGACTGCAGCAGAACCAGACTGAGAACTCGTGGCAATTGCTTGAACGCTACTGTGATGTCTCTCTCCAGACGCGGTCTGTTACAACCGAAGGACGCGAGGAAGGCGAACGGTGCAAAATCCACTGGGAAAACATTGTCATATGGAACCTTTTCACAAGATCTGAAAATTAAAATATTAGTGTCCACAGTTGTGTGGGAAAGTAGGGAATATTTCTGATCTCTGTTGGAGCTATTTTTTCCACGCAGCATGTAACAAAAAGTACGAAGTGTGTTGCGGACGGGCGCTGTGTTGAGCAAAAGGGCATTCTCGACCAGTGGCCTCACAGAATGCAGAATGGAAATTTCAGAGCATTCTCCAGAGGAAAGCAGAACATGGGATCCAGTCTTGTATGCGTGGAGTGTCATAAGTGAGACTCTACACATAGAGACACAAGAGACATTTCACGAAAACGGGGAGTTCTAATCAAAATGCTTTTGTGCAAGAAACATGTTGACTTATTTAACAAGTCCTAAATGAATCCGCTTCCAGAACTGTGTAGAGTCTACAGATATCAGCATTACACTCGACTGCAATCATGTCATTTCATACCGTACTCTTAGACTTCAACAACTACAGAACATGTTAGCTGACAATTCATCTGACACGTCCCGAACTTTAATTTTGAGTAGCAAATCGATGAGGTTAGGACAACTTGACACGATGTAGTAGAAGAATTGTTCAGCGCATGCTTCAATTAACTTCCGTAGCTGTGTTGTCGAATAGTTGAAACATAGCCACTGTAATAAATAACCTCTGTTTACGTTACAGCTTTGACTCACCTGCAACTACGCCGAACAATATACCCACTAGAATTATGGTCACATATGCTGATGAAAAGCAATCACTGTGGCTTCAAGCGTAAAGACGACTGGCAAGATAGATCGCTTGAGTTCTCGGAAGTAGGTTGGAAACAGTGTACCTGTCACTTATGATCATCATGTACGTAACATGTATTCACAGCTGAATCATCGGCTGTGGAATCTAGACAGACCCGAACTTCATTCACTATCATTGTCGCAAAGTTACACAAAACCCAGATCAACGGATCAATGGCACTGCCCTTTAAAACTAAAAACTTACTTTCCTATCGTCTATGGATCATACAATAGAAAACTGTTGCCGTTTATGTCTTTTTGCTATTCTGTCCATTCCTTTACTAAGGATTTTATGTAATGTGAGCTGATGTACAGTAAACATTCGCTTAAGTCCACAACTTGATCCAGGAGATCTGGTGCGAACTTAACTCCTCTCAACCTCCGCGCGTAAGTTCGTTTCTCCCATCCTGCCTTCGGTTTCCATCTCCCACGCAGGAAGCTCAAGCCGGAGTTGAAGAAGCCTAATCAATCCCGCTTGTTCAGGGTTCACGTCTGCTCGTTTATCCTCCCTACCTCCCTCTTCCTCCTCCTAGCGTGGCCTCCGCTCTACTGCGAGCAGGGTTTGAGATCGTCTCCCAGTGAGGAGGTAGAGGGGCGCCAGCACACTCATTCACTTCCTTCATAATGCTCTGCACTTGCTTCTGCGATAGGCAGGTGGTTTTGTGGGTGATGTAGACAGCAGCTTCTATTTTGCTCAGGGAGATTTGGAGCATTTGCATTGCAGCCAAGTGAGACAGCAGCTTCTATTTTGCTCAAGTAGATTTTATGTAAATACACTCTTGAGAATTGATCCAGGAATTTTTCGTTGTGAAGTGCGGACTTAATCGGGATGCGGACTTTGGCGAATGTCTACTGTACTTTTAGTTCTTTCCTGCCCCGAGATTCTTATCTCACGACAGAGTGTCTACTGGAACTGTCTAGAAGCCCATCACTCTCCGACATCGACTTTGCTATTCCGCATTGTTATGAACCCTAGGGAGCCAAGCAAACCTCATATATACATGATCTTTGTGATACTAATAGTAGGATGTTGGAAGCTACAATGCCTCATCCTTGATTGTCAATTCATGGTATTGATTGGTACCAGCTTAACTACCATAGCATCAAGGATACATCCACCACTCTAAAGATATAACATGGAGTAGAAATATCAAACTTGATTTTCTCTTACATTCAAACAAGAAGCACAACATATATTATATTGAATAACAACAGTTCATACATTTGCATAAGTATTATATTTGATTTCAAAATTTGATCAATGTTAATAATGTGAAACGTGAAGCAATCAATCACATTATTTTTTCCAGATCACACCATCACAAATTCTCATATCAATTCTTACTAGCATCATTTATTCATTGAAATTGTAACCAACAATAACCTCCAAGTGAATTAGTCATGTGCTTTCAGATAAACATGAGCTTTGAAAATTTTAAAGCTCAAAAATAATTAAATGATTTTTAAAATAGTAATTCAATAATAGTAAATTTAACATTACAAATAGGTCAGTTTTTTATTAATGTTAAAGTAAAATGACATATATCAAATATAATCTGTTTTTGGTTTTTATGAGAGCAATAAAATATTTCTTTATTATAAAATCGATTTATAAAAAAATTTAAATCATTAACACAACAATGCAACAATTATTTCTATTAAAATGAAAAAAAAATTTGTGATATATAGACAATTAGATATATATGATTATATAGTTAATAGATATTATTCACAAAAAATTATATATAATTTATGCATTTCAATGAATAAAAATAAAATATAAATTTTGTCTTTTTATTCAAAATAAAAATTCAAGAAAAATATTTTTTCATAAAATATTCAATCTGAAATCTAACAAACCATGATGATTGTATGCTCAAGCATTTTGCTGTAAATTTACCATACTCTTTTGGTTTAATCTATATCTGAAACTAATATTTATAAATAAAATTTAAAAATGAGATTAAAAATAATTTAGAAAAATACATGTGACTGAATTTTGTGTGGCAAATATTTATTATATGCTTGATAAGAGTTAACATCTTATTACTTATATGAAAGAATATCAAAATATTTGTTTTTTAAAGTTATGTTTCAAAATATGCAATTTTTGAGACATTTTCGAACCATTTGATATCAAACCTTGTTTATTTTGCATCAATTTTCCAAAATAACAATTAAAAAAATACAACCGAATAAATTAAAAAAAATTTATATTCATATTGTAGGCTTCAAACAAAGCAACAACAAGCAGATTGTTGATTGCATGGATCGGTGAGAAATAGTTCTTAGGACTACAATAAAAGGAATCAATTATCACTAAATTTTATTTTTCTAATTTTAAAATCTAAAAATCAAAAAGATATTATCATGATGAAATTTTTACAATTGAATTTATTTCCATTAATAAATTAAAATTAAATAAAATATAAAGGTAATTAATTTACTATAAAATTCATTTAGAAAGTACTATATTATTTCATAAATTATTCTTATTCACAAAATTTTAATTTACTTGACATCTAAAAGAAAAAGGTTTATTTTTTAAGCAAAAAATCACAAACTAATTTGAACAATAGAAAATTTTCAAAAATTGTAGATTTCATTAAATTAAAGAATTTTTTAATTAATATTTTATATTAAAATCAATTTAAAATTTTTAGACAATAATTTTAAATAATATATACAATTTTAATTTTCCGTGGCGATAATGTGTTGTAATAACAAAGACATCATTTTTAAAATAATTTTTTTGATTAGATATAAATATTTTAGTACATCTATGGTTTAATTTAAATATTTTTTCCCATTATTTGAAAAAATGATTAAAATTATGCATATAATATTGTGGTTTTTGATTATGTAAATTTTAAATCACAGAAAATGAAGTAAAGTCATACTACTATCACAGCTATCACTTACAACAAAACTTCTACTCATGAAGAGAAATTGTAAAATTTGTGAATGAACTATGAAACATGCAGGTCAAACAGAGATATATGTTTTGGAAATACGTGAATTAAAAAGGAAAATTCTTTTCACACCTTTTTTGCTAGATTCACATCTTTCTTTCTCCCTTTGGCGCGTTTCATTTGTCAGGATCAGCTCGTTAACATACTCCTCGCCTCGATCACACTTCAAGAACACCCGCTTCTCGTTACTTGTCTTGACGGTGAGAACCACTCCTTCCTGTTCATAGCTATTCCTGAGAACTTCTTTCCACGTGGCGAGCTCCTGTCGCAATCAGATTTACTTTGTTTAAAATCGAAACTGGAAAATAAGTTGTGAATCTAACAAAAAAGGAGGTAGAATAGAATTTTATTCTTAAACATTATGTAATATGTTCGATAAATTAACGCAAAATCTCATGCGTAATCATTTGCATATGCACTCATAATGTTTAAAGCTTCAATTTCAAGCTACATTATTTGCAAAATAATTTAAAATATGTGTTGAATCTGATTTCTACATGAACCTTAACAATAAAGTTTCATCTTTCTTATTTTTTTAATATTTTTTTCTATATTTAATTCTAAATTTTATTATCTAAGCTCTGTTATCTTGACGGATGCTTTAACGAAGAGATAATCTGTTTTGTATAAGTATGGTATCCAAAGGAAGAGATGCATGATAGATATTCAAATATACTCATATAGGGTTTGAATATATTCAAATATATTCAAACCCTAAATATTTGGCACAAATATATTACTCAAAGGTTGAATATTAAATTGTATGATTTGTAGAAAAAAACCAAGGGAATCGAAAAAAGCCAAATTTGATATAGACCATTCTAGGAGACTTTGACAGAAAAGTTAATGTTGAATTTAATATCATAAATCCATTAAAAGTACACATTTGATCAAGTCAAATTTTCAAATTTTTGATTATTGACGAATATTTTAGCAAGATCCCATTGTGCATTTGCAAAAGCACTATAGTTTTAAAGACACATTTTGTCTTATAAAAATATAAAAATTGAAAAAAAATTATTTAGTTATTGTGAAACTTAAACATTCATCATGCATTCCAAGACCTTTTTCTTTTTAAAAAAATAATAGTATTGCACCCCAATTGAAATAGTTTAGATGATGTACAATGTATTTTATCCTCATCATATGCCATCGTTGATCATGTTAGCCCGTTATAAGTTTTAGCGGTAGCCCATGCATTTGTTTTATCCCAAATAAGCTCAAAAGCGTCCTTGTATCTTTTTTATAAAACTTTGATCAAATGTAGATGATGTAAAGTGTAATTTATCAAGGAGTGAACATTAAAGTGAGAATTGAAGAAGTACCCAACAGCAATGGTTAAGGTTTAAAGTAATGTGTTACCTTTTTTGTTATGTCAGGGAGAGAAAGAGCTCTACCCTAAGGATAGACTAAGCAACAAAGGGAGACCCCCCCATCGAATATGGTCCACCAATAGCTTGTGGATCCAAGCAACCAGGTTTTGTCATGACCAAGGTTTAAGGTGTGGATGAAAATAGTGTAAAAGTTGTGGCCAAACGGAATTTGGAAATTAAATGTTCGGGTGGGTACGACCATGTGTGCAATCTAGAGTAATGTTTCGTTTTGATGGCTTATTTCCCTGGACAAATGTGAGTTCAAGGTAAACATCTGTAGAGCTTTCCACTCTAAACTTTACGTATAGTGGCATGTGCCCCAGCTGTAGTATTTACACAGAAATGTCATCTATACAGGCATAGTGGTCTAGTTTCTAAGAAATTCCCAAGTAACTGGCCATCAGAGGTCAACATTTTACTTCAAATCTGCAACCAAACCAGTCCAAACCATAACAATCAGCAGCGACCTAACCCCACCCATAGCATTACCTGTGCCCACCCATGCTATTCAAATTAAACCAATTCTTGGTTGGTACTTAGCAAAAATTGCCCTTAGCATTTCTTGTGCCCACCCATGGAAAAGTAATGTCACCCAAAACCCATTGGCATGGGTGGGTTTGGGCATGGGCACCCAATGTTGGGCTCTGCTGGCCATACTATGCCCGTGACACTCCTTCCGGCCAGGGGACCGGAAAGTCTTGAAGGTTGAACTGATCACCTGAGGGAATCTTTAGGGTAACCCTAACCCGGGTAGAATAAACCCTAAACTCCTGGTGAAATACAAAATGTAGATAAAGTAAGAATGAGGGACATTTTGGCAGCACCGAGAAAAAAGGTCATTGCTCGACAGCGTGGTCTTGCGCTTTAGAACATTCATTCCGAGTTGCTTTCTTTTAATTTCAGTCGACAAGTGTATGAATGGCAGGAATACAAGCAGGTCGATGAATGAATGAAGGAGCAAATTCGTGACATCCAGGGACGTGGGGAACTGTGACAGAAGACTTTGAAAGTGGTGCCAAAAGGCCGCTCCGCTAGCTCGGTGCCGGTGACGCTTGCTTTGCCGGCTGTCGAGAGAGCATGGTCAAAACACAGATTGCACAATATAAATGTCGTCGTTCTTTTCGTCCAGAAAGTACAACTATCACCCACCGCTCTTCATGAACCTGCATTAAACCTCTATCCATCCATCCATCCATCGTCCCATCAGCGCACGAATCTTTCCAACATCTGTGAGCTTTTGAAAAGTGCTCGCCTCCGGCTTCGACTGACTGCGCTCTCAACAGGACGGCACGCACGCTGATGATCGTTTGGTCGCTGACGGTTTTGTCGCTGGGGCTGTGTCCGATTCTGAGTCAGGACACGGAGGACGAAAGAAGCGGAGAACTAGGTACAGAGCTATGTCTACGTCGTCCGTATATAGTAACTCATGTTTCTGATGGTCACTAGAAGAGAAGCTTTACGTGATTGCCTGACAGTGAGTTTGTTGCATCAGATTTCCTCGTTGCTGTACGATTTGCATGTGAAATTGAATACAGCGTGAACTGTCCAGATGCTAGGAAGCCAGTGACGGTAACAATCATCATCAAAGAGATGCGGGGATTTTATTGCATCGAGTGTGATAGGGCTTTAAACAATACGAGAGGGACTGAAGGCACGATAAAAAGCAATCATCGATATTCTTTTAAATTGACGACTTGCGAGGGTGTATGATTTCGATCGTGATCGTGATCGAGCTGATTTTTGGACAGGGAGATTGAGAATTGACAAACGATGCGGTTGCTTCTGCATTCCCCTCAGAAGGCTTGCAAACCCGAAAGAATCTCTTATAATTCTCAAACTTTGGTTTGCAGGGAGTTTTTGCAATTCGAAAGCAAATAGATGACTCAACTCAAAACCGAGTTGAGTCATCTATTCTCAAAATGCATTTCGGGAGCCTGGAACATAATTTTTCATCAATTTACTTCGATGAGATGGGAGGGAAGGAAGGATGAATTGTGCTCAAAATTCATATGAGCAGAACCTAGGGAGGCGACTGAACATTGGCGCGAGTGAGCAAAGACCGGTCGACATCTTGTAGTTCTGTCGTTGACCAGGTCCTCTGCTGAGACTCTCCTCGCATCAACTCGCATTATCCCACGATGGAAACAAATGCACAACATGAGGGACGTGAAAAGCCTGTCATGGGCACTGATTTGTACACATTTTACGGTATCGGTAAACACCCATGCATGTTCTTCGGTGGATGCGATACAACCAACAGGGCTCAAAATATGGCCATTGCCATATCACAGTACTTCAAAGACGTAGCAAAATGATTAAGAGAAAATGACTGTCCTGATCACGTTTATGTTTCCTCAACCTCCTCTGTCAAACCATCTTCCCGTGTTCAAGTCGTCACTCAGCGAATGGTTAGATGTAATTATAAAATCCGTTGCTTTCGTATGTACGTATATAGATCTTTTGGGATAATCTTTAGATATAACTTTTTCTTGCTAACCAGTAGATCTCTTGTAGAAAGGTTTGGTCTGTGCAGCTATACTCTTGTCACGGGTGTGTTTATGTGTCTTGCGTTTGTGGATAGCGCCAGAACGATTGTATGTTTTATATTATTTATGTACTGTTTCTATCGAAAAATAGTGAGTTCCGTCTTGCTGTAAGCTTTTGCTCATTTTGCTCTAACATTTGGCTGTATTTTCTGGTACAATCATGAGTTTGAACATGTGCGCCAAATTTAGCTTTGATTTCAGCTACTTTCGCTTTGACCTTTATCAGCATTATTATACGGGTTGATTGAATCGAAGTCCAATGCTCTTGTCATCTTCTGCATTTTGTAAAGATCTGTTTACAAGGTGTAGCCTTTCGACATAAACAACTTTCGAGGTCGTTTACGCTTGAGGAGACTGAACGCAGGAGTTTACCAGTTGACAGTTTGTTAAATTGTGAAGATACGAGTTCTGTTTCTTCACATAAGAACTACGTATATGCAGACATTACCTTAATTTATCAAGAAGCAACTTTCCATAATTCAAACCGAACTGAGGACCAAGTGCAAATATCAATGTTTCACTAATGAGGAAAAGTAGGGACAGTAATTTGCCACATGATTTTCAAGGTGATTATAAATTTTTGATATTTTTCATTTTTCCAGGTAGAATTTATATTCGGTTATAACGTCGACAACATTTCACAGTCTTATCGTGATAAGAGTTTGTATTTGTCCGATGTAACGATAGGATTCTCTTTTTCCTCTTTTCTTCTCTCACAGTTGTATACAAAAAAAATAATTTGATTACGATGAATTGTGTCTCTTTTCTTCTTTTTAATTTTATTTTCGTATATTATTTCCAGTTTTAATTGAAAGTGTTTCTGTGATTACTTCTGTATACTTTCTATACAATATCTCCATATTTTTATGATTGTTATTAAAAGTAATTTTCGTTCAAGTTTTGGTTTAATTTGTCTTCTCATAAATTGGGGGACATTGTTGCTATGGTCAACTTATAGAAACTTCAATTGTTAGATAACGATCTGTACGAGTGAAAGAATCGCTGGAGATTTCGAATTTATGAATGCTGAATTTCAGTAGTACATGGTAGTAAGGTCAATATTACTACAATTCAATCGTGAGACAGCAGTGCTTTGCTTCCCACGGTTTGTGAGTTTCTTGCGAACTACATCCCTTCTCGACTCGACTAAAGGTCAAGTTGGCAATGTTACTCTAAGACTCAAGATTTCTGAGCCGTAATAGTATACGGATCACCCTAATCAGATCTCTAATTAATTTACTTCAGCACGCGAGTTATGACATAATTAAGGCAAGGACCCGAGCTGCTGGATGTTCACTGGAGAAATAGACGAGAGGCCACCGGAGAAGAATTCTCGACCGAGTTGCACATTTACGGCGTCTGTCGGGTGGAATGGATCCCAGAAGAGGTACTGGGCCCTGTTGGGACATGGCCTCAGTCCCGTGATGCAGGGGATTTGACCATTGAATCTCCCAAATCCGCAACATCCTTGGTTCACCACAGTCAGACCTGCACAAATAATGACGAGAAGTTTGACCATGTTAGATTCACATTTTGTCCCAGCTCAATGGTTTCTATGTAGTACAAGCCTGGAAGAGAAAGGGACGTACCATATCGTTGTGGGTTGACGACCTTATCGAATACGAGGTCGTACGAATTCCCGTACACCAAAGTGGAACCAGTGAGTGTGGTAGCAAGATCGTTTAGTTTCAGCCCAAGCGCTCTGTTAAACCCCTGAACGTAATCATTGATGAATTGGATGCAACTACCATCGACACTTCTCTGGTTGGCGAGCTGTGACGGGATACATCCCAAGGGTCCGACATTGAATACAGCGATTTTCCGAGCACCGAAGTTGTAGAGTGCCTGAAAGTACAAAAGCTCATCTGCTTTAGCTCGCGTAGACAAGGTTAATGGAGGCTCAGTCTCAATCATTCGTCAACAGAAAATGCACTTACGTGAAACTTACGGTAATTTGACGGGCGAACTCGTTCACGAGGAGAGCCTCATACTGCTTCGGTGTGTACTGACGAGCTGTTTGAGAACCGGCCAACAGATAGTTGTTGATGTAATCGTTACTACCGATAACGAAGAAGTACAGGGCTTTACTGAGAGCTTGTTGGGCACCGACGGGCCCCAGAAGCTGCGCGAACTCTTGCTGAGTCTTTTGGAAGTACTGCAATTGTTGGTTCAACGAGATACGCCCAATCTGCAGAACACGCCAATCGATCACGATGAGTCTCATGATACTGTGAAAATGGAAGAAATAGACGGGGTTTCATGCAGTGCTCATACTCACATAATTTGCACCAGTGCTGTCGAGAATACCACCGGCCGCAGAAGCGTAATTTAAACCGCCCAGAATCGCAGTGCCCCTGCTCTTGGGATCCAAGTATGCTGGGACGAATGGCTGGTTCGCAAGTTGGACTGCAGTTTCCAATGACAAAGTGTGATTTACTGTAAGAATGAGAAAACGATGAACTCGAAACAATGACCGTCCGTGTGGGGTGATGTAAACTCATGTTCATTTCCAATCATGCTGTCGGAGTGTTGGGGATATGGAGGGCCGAAATCGGGAGATCCATTCAGCAGGGGAGAAATCGAAATGTACCAATGACGTCGGCGACAGTTCGACCATTGCAAAATCGTCCAGTCGCGCCCTGTTGGAAGTCAATTCCATTCGGGGGAAAGTTGGACTTGGCCAGTGTCCCAATGTAGTTGTTGTTTCCTGGGTCCACCAGAGAGTCTCCGAGTATAAAGTTGGCTGGCGCAGATGTCCTCTGCGATTGGGCTGAGTGCACCAAGAGTGCAATCATAAAAGCGACAGTCCAAACTCGAGCCATTTTCGGGCCGTACCTCGAACCCCTGCATGAAGAAAAAAACACGTCCAAAATTTCAATGCTGGCAATGCTGGCTAGAGCCTACAGCTCGTACGTAAGACGACGGGAGAGTACACAGCTCGAGAGAAGCGCCATTTTGCAGCCATGCTCCATGCAGTCCAGCTGCAGGGGGACCAACAAATTTTCCAGCAGCAAAGCGATTCGAGTCTGTGACTCGAACCGCAAGACGTCCTCTCACACAGAACTCAAGAGATCCAGTTTACATCTTCGGGGCTAAAATCAGAGCTAACATTCACGACGCTAGTCACTTCGAATATGCAGCTGCTTGGACCTGTTGTGACTCGACGAAAGCTCAAATCCACATCCCAGGCTCACCTGATGCAACTCAGAGAACACATGTGTGTTCACGTAGAGCGTTGGGAGAGCTGAAACTGGGCCTCAAGCGTACGGGCTTGAGCTGAGTTACGAGGACGAGCCCATCCACGCCTTCCCAGCCGAGAGCAGGCGAACGCAGAACAATGTGGGCTATCGAATGCCTGCACAACAATGTATATGTACTCGCTGACTTGCACAGGGAGAGCGGGGAATGAAGTGCAGGGGGGTTCACTCAGATCTCGAAAGAATGGAGTATATAGAGCTGCGCAGGTCCAGGCTAACGAGGTAGACGCTCGGGCACACGCAATCAACGAACTTTAAGGTTTGATGACTCCAGGAAAAGGCGAGGACTTGCCATGATTATATTTTACTGAAGTAAGGTACCGGTGCACTCCACTGTGAACTCCTTACAGCTCCTTATCTAACAGCAGTAGAATAAATGTAACCGGCTTTTGCGTACTGATGTTGGTGCGTACCGGACTTTGTTTTGATAAATCTCTCAAACACGGGGTTTATTCCACCGTGGGTTCTAGCTGAAGATGGAAATAGTAAGGCCTGTGGTATTATGAGCTATAAACTAGCCATTTCTCGCCAACCCACCTACCTTGTTCGTATAGTAACCTTTCATGCACATGGATTATTGCAAGCTGTATCTTTCATATTATGCAAGTCCTTCACCAACTTACCGGCCTGAAATTACTGCATCATTCTCCATTCTTACTCATCGTACCTCTACCTTTCTTTCGGCATGTCCTGTCACCATCTACAACGCCACATAGTCGAGATCTTAACCACGGACTGATTTAATTTTTAATTTTTATCGTGTTATTTAATGCCCCAGTTGGAAGCAAACAACTGAGGGTAAGTCACTGAGATTTAAAATTGTGTTATTGAGGATAAAATCAGGGGAGTTCACTTAAATCCGAGATTAATGATGGGCTGGGAAGAGGGATGATAAGGACTGTCGAGAGGGAGAAGGAGTTCAAGGTTGAAGGTTTTAGTGCTCGGACTTTCTCAGTTGAAGATTAGAAGGTCATATTGAATGTGCGGCTTCGGCCAGAATCCACCGAGGTGTCCAAAAGTCCCCGCTTTAAAGACGTAGGTTTCCGGTAGCAGCGTAGGACTCCTGTCATGTAGGAGATTGTAGCCATCCAGGGAGGCCAGCGTGTTCAGACAATTGTTTCTGCATATGCAGCACTGCACAGGACCCGGGCATTAAATAACAACCTGGCGAAGCTGGTGGGTACTCCGAGACCAGGTGGAGGGAGAAGAGAAAATCCTCCAAATCCAACACCTCTGCATTACGGTCTGTGAATCCGTCACGGATCAGGCTCGGATAAGCTCTCACTGTAACCCCACAACTATCCACTGTAAACCGCGCTGCACTACACGGATTTCCACCTAACCGCTAGCAGTTTCTCGTCAGTCGTTCCCTCCCTCCCTCGCCTACAATGCTGTACTGTACCAGACGATCACTCACGCTCTCCTCCGCATTCAGTCGTCAACTGTAGTATCTGGCGCAGTGAGCTGGTTCTGTCCACTCGTTTCGTTGTATGTTCTTCCGTCCGTGGCTCCTCTACCAGAATCTGACCGGAATTCTGGGCACCTCACGGCTCAGTGTGGCACAGGACAGTATTGTACTGGTGCCATAATTGCCATGTTTCCATGCCACCTCAGCCTTGCAAAGTCCCAGCTCAGCGTGTTCCCACACGATGTTATTCGACGGTGGAAGCAGATGTCGAGAACTGCAATGTGATCCAGAAGAGCCTCAGCTCAACTCAACTCAACTCAACTCCAGTCAACTTGGCCGAGGTCGAGTCCAGAGTTCAGAGTCCGGATGACGCAAAATCGTGTCGTGTCCTCGGATCCAATGATCACAACTGCGGGCGGGGTAGGTTGGCACGAGCTCCCAAGCGTTCCCGCCACAGAGCTCGTAGGCTTACATGAATTTAGGTCTTTTCAGTACTCCTACATATGAATCAATCTCATACACACACATTTCATCCACTGCGTTCGAATGGAGAAGAAATCTTACATCTGTACTGCGAGACTTTCATACTATGGCAAGCGTCCGACCTCGTAAGCTGCCCCCGCGTTTGGCTACGGGTGGAAAACGCGTGAAATCCCATGCACGCTGCCCTTTCCTATTAAGGTTTCAACGTAAGTGTTCTTACGTTGCCCTCACCACTTCTCTAATTTTCGTTCCATACAACCGCATCTTGTAGTTCGATCGTGATCCAGCGCAAACTAATGATCATTTACATTGAACATTTATATTCTGGAACCTTGTGATGTTGCTCTTCCTTTTATGTATTTCCTGTACCTAGTTCTATATTAATTTTCTGGGGCCGCCGCATATTACATCCAGTTACAATCGTCCGTGTCAATGTTCACCCGGTATATCACCAGGAGAGGAAGTGAAATTGTTGTGTATGCATCTGAGTGTCTGAGTGAGGTGAAAGGTTACTCGGACACTCGTTGATTACCTGTGCCCTTACCCGGACGAGGGATGAGAAATACATTTATAGGCTGAATTCTGTTATTTCCGTTAGTCAGGGATCTTCTAAAGAAAGCTGGATACATTTGACAGGTTCTGTAAGTTAACGAAGGTATCCAAGGGTGCCAGATCTCTTCTCCTGATCAATTGACAGCGTTGTCTCAATATTTCATGGCTACCCAGTATTATTTTCCTCTTACATCAAAGATATATCCTGCAACTTAACCTCGCTATATATATGTTGTTAATTCTAGTTATATTCTGATAATTGTATAGAAATCCTCTTTTTTTTTATCCTTTGTCATGAAAATCAAGAAATCTATATAAAATAGTCTGTTCATTATCGAAATCATCTGCAAACTTTGAAGATCTATCTAGTATACATAAGCACCTTCTAACAATTATTTTGCATTGATTTTCTAAAAAATAATCTTGTAAATAATAGAGATTACATACTCAATGGTGACATTGTTGGAAGTCATAACACGTTTGAATTAACTTTAGATAGTTAGTTTGATTATGGTAAGGTAGACTAGTGCAATTACTTACAGATTTTTTTTCCTGAATAAGCTCTCTATGACACATTGAAGGTTCAACAAAGCAACTGTGTAATCCTCAAGATGTAACGTAACTGAGAGGTGAATCGTACGCTTGACTTGTTGACTCTCTCTCTCTCTCTCTCCACCCTCCATATGTGTCTTGTGTAAGTTTTCTATTCAAACTTTCAAGAAATATAGATCGAAATAGATTAATATATAAATTAGTCATATAAATTCAAATAGACATATTAATATTAATTTAAAACATAGTGGATTTGAAACTTGTAAATTAGTACATTATTATTTTGTTATCAATTTGTTCAAAAAAGCCCTTTTTTTCTGTGCATCATCTTACTCTGTTGCTACTGTATACATATATCCTAGACAAAAGCTCTAATTTCTAGATCGAGAAGATAGGGCTATGAAAGCCCAATACCTCTACTATTTGTATAAAGTCTTTTGATCACTTCGTTCTATCACTGCTATGAAAAAATTCTCAACTGCTCGGAGTTCTGAATCATGTTATCTTTCTTGTCTTATAGTTTTATACTCATAGTCTTAAGATTTGAAGAAGAAATATGGATGAAGTCGATAATATTGTTCACTGTTCACTTCCACCTAACGACATTTCGAGTTGGAAAGTGAGATTTAAAACCGAGTACCAACCAAGTGTCACTGAGTTTTTACAGCTAGTATAACCAGTAACTCTGTACTCTAGAAACGTATAGATTCCTATCCTAATGTATTAAATACCCAATTGAAACGTAGCTGAAACCACTACTTAAATATGCGCCAGCAACTGCTGTATAGCACCAGAAGAATACAGACAGAAACTCCTGATTCTATGGATGGCCAGAAAAATGTTGAACTATAAAAGTGTCTGTATTATGCGACAGAAACGTACGGAGAGTGACTAGAACGGAGTCGAGTACGAAGCATACGTCTACACGTGGTGTCCATAAAATTATACCTGCTGAGCCTACAAATCATCATATTAGCTACTCACTCCCACATGTTGTTGCATTTGTTGAAGTTTGGCAAACATGTCGTGTGCAGTGACTAAACATGGCAGCTTGATTCTTACCTGTCTACAGTGGGGAACTCTGTAGTGACATACGTACGTGGGAGATTCAGCTTCAGTGTGGGGATGACTTTACTAATATGCCTCGCTTCGACAATCTCTGATTGGCTTGTAAGATGTAACGAGGAGCGAGAGCAGTAATATGAGACCTGACACTCGAGTTGACCAGATCTGGATTTTGAACACAGTATCTTTAAGACAAGCTAAATAAAAGGAAGTTGTTTTGTCGTGCAGTTCTCGGCACCAATAATCATGTTCGGTGGAAGTGCCCGGGCCAAATGGGGTTAAAGATGCATGTCATGGGCTTTGCCGCAACGAAGGGAGTTATACGCAAAGTAATCACTGCTTCAGAATGGATCGGTGCACACAAGGAATGGAGAAAGCTCCACGACGCATCTTGAGCCACATCTTCTCGATTTGCATGCAAAGACAATTTATGTTCTTCGTTGCCTAGAGCGAATCGCGTAGAATCTCCACCGGCATGACTTCCGGCGAAGATGAGAGACAGAAGGGCGGGCTGTCAGTCATGATTTGAAACACTTCAACACGTAGTCCAACCGAGGTCAATTGCTGTCAGTGCATAGCCATCTCCCGCAGTCCTGGCACAGTGGAGGAGCAAATTTGGTGCTCATTCTCAATTACATCTCACTTAGCCTCTGCGTGATCGGACACAGAAGTACGATCCCCACCACTACCGCTATCTCGAGCCCCATCCAAGGCTTAAATCAGGCATACACCAAAAAAGTCCATCTGAACCCTAAACATTGGCTTGAGAAGTTTGTGACATTCTCCCCAAACTTTGTCTCGCTCAAACTCCATCGAGAAAGGAAGAAACACCGAGCGGATCACGTCAGTGCGAAAGATCAGGCTGTTATCATTGGAAAAGGAAGAGGCCTTTTTGTTTCTTGGAATCCGGCTAGAAACGTCGTGGTTGTTGCATCTGCGCCCAGAATTTGTGCACTTGATTTTCCAATGATTTCGATTGTGCGATGTTCACGTCATTTTCGTTGCGAGTTGAGTGATGTGGGGCTTGGAACAATCTGGAACTGCTCTTCCCGGATCCAGTATCTACCATCAGCTTTCAGAGATGAATCATCCATCCCTTTAAGAGAAATAGACCCACATGTTCGGTTCCATTCCGAGTCAGGGTATTTCTGACCTCGATTCAGGTTCTTGAGGTTCTTCTGTGACTGACACTTTCGTCCGATGCGCGCAGAACGAGTCAACGCATAAACAGATAGTTGTAGGTGAGACGTACCGGAGTGATCAGCAGCAGCACTCTGAGAGTAGTCAGAGCTATCCATTCCAAAGCCGACTCTTGTCCACCTCTGCTCTGCTGTAGGTCGCGTCTCACCGTCAACACATGAGTCAACTCCCAGCATACGTCGTGCTCATTTGCAGACCGGTCAAATCACGCCTTCATCCAACTCCAAATCTGATGATCTCTACCTCTCGGATTCGATTACTGCGACCGAGGAAGTGAGAAGTTCCGTCGTAAGCAAGCACTTTTGTTTTTTTACTGCAGTCCTCTCCCAATAATCTCGATGGTTTCAACTCGGTCACCGAAACCGTCGTCAGTTCCAGTTGACCTGAAAAGCAACGTAGCGACCAGATTGTCCTCGCGAGAAGACCTTGGTCCGGCCAGTTGCCAACGAGCTCCACCGACGACGTATACTCACTATGACACCACTGGCTCTTGCCGAGGCTATGAGGGCCTACGAAGCCATCCACATACTATTCCTTCAGTTTTGTGTGCAAAGTTTGTCCATTCGCCTTTACGGGAAGTGAATTTCAGATAGAAAGGTCAGGTCTCCGTTAATGTCTCTTTGTCTTACGCGTGATGTGATTTCAAACTGCTTGATTTTCCATCGTTGTGCACTGGCGGCGTCAAGTGAAGACGGCCGGCTAAAGTCTCGAGTACATGATCTCAAGTGTCTAATTCTTTTTTCAGCTTTAAAGTTATATGTAATCATGTCCACCTACTTCAGAAACTGCACAAACATCTATCATCTTGATAAGGTATAAGAAAATATCTTTTCCACTATAGCTCAGAAAAATCACCAGAGATAATGTTCGTCGGTATTTGTAATACAGTAACTCGAGGTTCATAAATTGAACATAGTCTTGAAATGCTTGTTGAAATGCAATTTACATCGACAACTGTGATTATATTGTAGGCAGTCCCACATTACCCCCTTGATCCTTGCAATTCTGGACCGGCTCTTCCCACACAGTTGTGTATATCATCTGGGCCCTTACTATCCGTTACGTACATGAATGAGGGCATGTGATGAGTATTGATCATGGGCATTGACAAGCTCAATCCTGCCAGCAAAGTTAAAAAATATGGTGCCGGCCAGGGAAACGCTGTCGCTGTTTATTTTATGTGAGCAGAAGTATTTATGGAGCGTTTTGGCCTGTCTGCTACATCTGCAGCATCCGCTCCCGCTCGACTATTCGAGCGGGAGCTTATATTCGACAACGGAACGTAGGCTTGGCCCAGTCAGTCAGTCACTCTCTCTCTCTCTCTCTCACACACACACACACAATTACCAGTTCTACCAATCTGGTCCAAATGGGGAGATAGATAGAACCTGTGGAGTTTGTGTGGTGGAGGTCACGGCTGCCAGTAATCAGTACGTATACAGTACAGCGTACATGACTGCGATCGACGATCACCACCACACGGGGAATCGATGGGTTTTCCGTGGTGCTTACTGCTCGCAAAACCGAGCAAGGCAGACTCTACTCCATTCAGCAGCAGCAGAGCTGCTGGGGCAAAGAGGACATCATGTTCGCGAGCAGTCAAAGCGAGCACCCCGAGCAACTGAACCCGCGCCCTCCTGGACTTCTGCAGCATGATGATACTTCTGTAATCAACGCAAATCTGCCCCGCAATCCGGCGAAAGGGGAAAGTCGCCTTGTGTCAGCCCCAACCACGTACGTCCTAGGTCCCGGTAGGTGCAGGCAGTGGTAGTCGTAGATGGCGCGACGAGTCACTGCCGGTTTCCGGCGGTCTCGGCTGCCGTATTTCGGCATCTCCGGCGCACGGCCCGTCGAGCCGTGGCAGAATCCAGGGACGGACTTTGACTTTTTCCTGTCGAATATACGACCTCGGTCGTCGTACGTATACGGGGACAGCCATTTACGGTCGTAGAGCAGTGGGCGTGAACTCTGGGAGAGGCTTTTAGTTGCTTTCACTGTTTTATTTCAGTTCCGTCCATGAATGCATTCAGAAAGCTGACTGCTCTCGCTTCGTTCGTTTCGTTCACTCATGCACTGGAGTACTGTAAATTCGTCACATGGGAGGCGGACTGCTTGAGAAATCGCCCACATTTAAGTCTTTTCGTGCAAACACAGAGCTTGGTCGAGAGATCTACAGACGGAGAGAATTTCCGAACTTGCTCACATGATTGAAAGGATCTTCTCTCCTCCTCTTGAGATGGACACATTGGTGTGAGCGTCGGACGTTTGGTGACAAGCCTTCATGCATTCCTCCCCTTTTGTTCCTTTCAATCGATCGCTTGTTTAATTGTGGTCACTTTATCCAGCTCTAGCTTTACTTTAGATGAGATTGAACTTCCAGCTTCAAGATCGGTGACAACCACAACAACGCGTCAATTGCCCAAAAGTGCGTCTTCCGTTCTATGATATGGGAAAGTGGCTGACGATATGTTTCGATGTGTCGATGTTATCGATCACTGGGTTCGCTGTGCATCTTTAAATCGAACTGCGTGGCATGCCACCGACAACCCCTTCATGACTTCGAGCATAGTGTGGTCTGGTGTGCTGCTTTTTGCCCTTGGGAAGACAGTGTCCACGGCCGCCGACTCATTTGTCCCCACAGCGGAGAATCGTGCATAGCCGAAACACTTGCAGGAATCATCTTCCTCAATCTTAATGTTGCATACAACACTGATACATGTGCTGGCTCTTTCACGTCCATCAAGTCGAATGTCTTATTCGTTTCGAGCGATTCTGAGGGACTCCGTGGAACTTCCGATCGCTGTCTTGATATCATTCGGAGAAATGTTATCAATGAGGGGTCAGGGTTCAAACCCTAAGCCCTAAAACTCGGAGAAATGCCCTACCATGCCACCGGAGTGGCACCTGGAAGCAGCAAAGGCAACAACTGTGGCCAGGCGGGCACTCGGATCTGCTAAGCGATGGTGACAAATGATGCCGTTTTGAGTTTGAGACCATGGAGAGCTTCGGACTCCGGATCCGAGAAGAAGATAAGTATGATTGCGGATGCTACTTTGAACCATCAATTACTACTCTGCGCAATAATATGCAAGCAAGAGGATTTACATTGCCAGAGTACATAGTCCTCAATTATTCGATTGTGAGCTTGCAACGCCAGCGACGCCAGCAAAGGAGACAAGGAAGATCAACGGGAACATTAGAACTTTCAGTTCACGGTGTCCTACTTGTTTGGGGACAGTTCCATAACCGGATGCTCTTGTAATTTCTACACCTTTTCAGCCAGATATATCAGATGCAAGAGAGATATTTCTCGTTGAGATATTATTGAGTTCTAGCACCATCTTAGCCCCATGTTGTTTTGATTCTCCTTTCCATATTCGAAGCACTTTAGAGCTTAGCAAAGGTTTAAATGATTGGAAATACTGAGCAAGGAAGGTCTTGGAAATGAGAAAAAACTTCTAGGAAAACCGATTATATAGAAAAAAAAATTGCGCGAGTATTTAATTTTCAGATTGATGTGGCGCCGAGTCTCTTTTTTTTTAAATATAATAAGGTCTATGAACGGGAATATCGATTGAAATTGGGGGAAATGATAGCGAGTACTGGGCTTGGCCTGCTTGTGTGGACGTTGAGATTCACTTCATATGACACGAGGAACCATGTACTGCACGATGAAGTGACGGTGAAATGATATCCCTCTATCATTAATCTTCCACTGGATTCCTACCCAACTCAGAAGATTCAAACGGCTGCATGGATATACCATCATTCATGTTCTAAAGGTTTAATTCATTCCATATTCTATGGTCGTTATTCCCTACAATCCAGTTCAGCAGTTCCGATGGGAAAATGACTTAAAGGGAGGAGATGGATGGAGGTGCAGGGAAACTCATCCATATAAGTGTACTAAATATACCAAAAGAATGAACGAATTTCTCGCTTCTCTTATCTACGCGATATAAGCGCGTATCTCTTCGCTTTCTTCAATATTGAGCGTGGAGGAATCCCCAGATTGAGAGTCTTTACCCAAATTAACTTTTTTAATCATTGTCTTTTTTTGTGAAATATCTAGCCTCTTATGCTTATCAAAGATCCTGAAACGTACGGATCTTGAAGCGTGATTCAATTGACCGCCAATCAATTGTACATAGTTAAGTGCCAAAGAGAATGAATATAAGAGAGGCACAAGGAGCTGATATTGAAGGTACTGTTTACTGGTTTTCGATATCAATATAAATTATTATTACTTCGGATTTTTGGGTAACCTATTGATACTATTAACTACTAGACAAATATTATCTTACTTGGTGATAAATAGCACATGGTTAAATAACTCATCTAAATATGTTGTCACAAATTGTCTTTGTGGGTGGCATTTTTTTTCTGATTGCCTCATGAAAATAACAAGGATGGATGGATGTGAACCAACGAGATAGATGGATGTGTGAACCAACGGAGTTGAGAGGGAGCGAGAGAGAGGGGGCAAAGTAGGAAGCAAGGAACAGGAGCGAGGCCTTCGGTACTTATCGGAACCACTTCCAAAATATATATGAAGGCTTTGTAAAGACATACATGGAAACTAAACATAGCCATAAAGCATCACAATAATACCAAATATAACACACAACAGCATGATGAAGTATCACATACTGAGGTAATATAATGTCATCACTTAGAGGTCAAATGCCATATCCTATAACCTCCTAGTACAACCTTTGGCTCTGTATCTACCTATGGAGAGGAGCTCTTCTAAATACCATGATGAATGTTCCACCGTACAACGTAAAGTCGTTATGTATGTTGGGGTGTCAATGTCTACGTAGACTTTACTCGCGGCATCCATTGGTGGACTCTCTTGATTTTGTATTGTATACGAACCAGGGCCCACCACAAGTTGCGTCTACGAGTTATGGTGTTCAACATGAAAGTGGCGCTAACATTTGATTTCAAGTGGAGAAGCAATAGGTGACACGCTCTGGTAGATGGATGTATATACCCTACTCGTATAATATCGTCTACCTCGTGCTCATAATACGGCTACCTCGAGTCACATCTCTATGAGGGTTGTTGTGGACAATTATGTGTCGAAGGTGAGACCACCACAAATGCTCACGAATGTTGTGCGAAGTAAAACAAGAAAAATAGATGTAAAGACTGCATCTTACATGAGTTGTGAATGTGGTAGAAGGGGGTATTCCATCACATTGGGGAATATATTTTAAGTTATATACAAGGACATGCAACCCATGAGCTCATACGCGGTAAAAAACAAAGAAACTTTTAGACCAAAGTTGCCTCAAAAACGGAGAAAGGAAAAATTCTAGAGCATAATGGAACGATCTACTGTACTATTATACAATTTAATGGACACAAATAAAACCCAACACTGTTATAAAAATAAGAGAATATCCTAAGCCCACAAGTGCTACATGAGAATGACTTCTGTGCAGAGAATCTGGGGACAACAGCTATCGATAAAGATAGAAATTGCGGTAACATAGAGGAGAAAGATTAGAATACTCACAGGTTTCCAGTCAATGGTCGCGCAAAAAGAAATTTAATATTTCATAGTGCCTATTGTTGCCAGCAAGTACTCTCGAAAGTTTTCCTAAAATTTGTTCTTCAGTACTGTTTAAAGAAAGCAGGGGTGGAGATCTTGAAAGGGTATGCTTCGCACTTTGAGTCGGGTCTCCATCCTCGTTACTTCTCAATGCTAACATCATACTTAAATAAAAGTATTTCTTAAGGCAGCTGCTGAAAGATGTTATAGGCCTATGTATGGAGCTCTCAAATACAAAAGTTGTGTAAGGAGAATTCCTGCACATTGATCTCTTAGCATAGTCTATTGCTTGTACAGAACCATACCCTCCACATAGCCTCGTTGTGGAAAGACAAGTGAAGGGTCTCACTTACAAACTGCAATGGAGAGAGGTCACAACATTTCCAAAGGCATTGAATATCGATAGAAACAATATTGATATATTTCTAAAATACCAAATCTATGCACAAGGTATGAGGATGTGCTACGAACAAGAGATGTGGGCAAGTTTGCACATATGAATCGAGAGGACTCAAACTTGAATGCATGGAGGCTGTTCCTCCCAACCTGATTGAAAAGCTGACAAGCCATTTATACAATGGTCATCAGGACAAGTCGTAAATTTCTTTATTAGGTACCGGGACTAGATGATTCTCAAATGTCTTCGCTACATCTACCACCCTGTGAGTAACATATTGCGCTCGGACTATAAGGCCCGAAACGACAAAACGTAAAGTGTTACTATAAAGTACAAAAATGATTTATTGCATCGATCGCGGAACCCATTCTCAGCACTACCTAGTCGACGTTGTGTTCAAATTCGCAGCCGAGAACTTGATCACATTGCGGCTTTTGTGGTATCTATTTTTATCACATGCGTCGGCGTTGGCCTCGATTCATAAATACAATACACAAAAGTCAACAACGCGAAGAAGAGACCGCGACGCATAAAAAACAAAGATAATGGAAAGACTCCATCCACTCCAAAAAAACATATGAAACCATAAGGATCACATGGAGCTGATGCATGAGAATGATAATTGAGAAATGATACATTAGAAGTGAAGAGGGACAATGTGTACAGTACCAAAATTATCTCATCTATATGATTTGAGCAGTCAATAAATAACTCTGCATCTTAAAACTATAACCTAATGCTTTCATATGGATTGCATCTGTTATCTTTTGATGTAAAGTAACCATTCGTTAATTAAAATGTGTTATACTATGTATTGAATGGATTATAATCCTACATGTAGTTGTTTAAATGCAATTTTTTACGAACATATCAAACACATATTCATGATATCATAACATTTCAAATATATCTGAAAAAAATATGGTTTTTTTTATACGTTCAATCTCATATTCTCATGCTATGTTCTGTAATTTTTTTTTTAAATTCATCTTTGTATCGATATCATAGGATTTAGAAATCAAGTACTCTCCAATGCTTATTGATTGGAAGCCATAATAAACTTTCTCTACATGTGAGATATTCACCACTCCTTTTCTTAACAAATATATGATAGATCTACATAACTATTCTAGCAACATTTGATAGGAAAGTTTGATGCATCTTAAGCTAAATCATCCTCATATAAAATGTAGATGGATCAATCAAGCTAAGAAATGTCTTTATTCTTATATTGGAAGTAGCTTATGCAAATCAGATTACCTTTATGCTCGATCAACTCAAGTTTCAAGAGCGTGCATGTAGAATGTGACTGGACTCTGCATTCAAGCTTTCACAAGCATGAATCTTCACTAAAGAATAGTGACCCCATGCCCTTATAATATGATAAACAGCCGTATATAAGTGGATTGAAGGTGAAAAATCCTACATTGAATAACATAAACAAGCATTCAACATTTTCATTTCAATGTGTGAACATATAGTATACCATACTTATGTTTTCCAAAAACTGTACATGATCAAGACAATCGACATATTTATTTATTTTTGAAATAATTCTGTGAATATGTACTTCTTTGCTATCTTATCTATATATTGTTTCTTTCTTACTCTCATGATAAAAAGTTCATCCAAGATTTAGTAAATAAAGAAGGATTAAGAAATCTAATTGAACAAAAAGACACTGATTCATAACAATATTTTTGGTTATTCATTAGAAAAAAAATTGTTGATAAAAACACTCTAAAGGTATGGTTTAATTTTAACAAAAATCATATCAAAAAATTTGACTTATATTACTATTATTATTTCAAAAAATGAAAATTTTTAAAATAAAATAAAAATTAAAGTCATTGGATTGTATATGAACGTAGTAAGAAGATTGAAACAAAATTGTAAGATTTAAATTACAATTTTGTTTCAATTTCTAATACATGTAAGGTGATAACAAATAGCTGTTATGAAGTACATTGTCTCATTATTAATCTCTTTTAGCTAGCTATATTTTCAGGTCAAGCTAAAATGATGTATCATATGTCATGTCTAGTATGTCACGATTTTTCATCTTCGGAAGTATCATATTTTGGATGAATGAAATGCAACATATTTATGATGAGATCACTCGAAAAGTGTTGAATTCAACACAAATATCTTAAGAATCACTCATGTAATAGTAATCTATATTTTATATTCTAATAATTTTTAAATTCATTGCTGCCCAAGATCAATTGTATTGATTTTTCTTGTGAAAAAGCTCTCAACTTCCATGTTTAACTCTCAACTTTCCACGCAAGTTGCTGAAAATGATAGGATTATGTTTTTAATGTTAGTATCTAGCATATGAAATTGCTTCATCTCATTAATTCACAATTTCTAACTATGTATGTAATATTAGTAATAAGAAAAAAAAATCCAAGCTTCAAATCTACTTAGATGTCCGTGTTCATAATGAAACACCACTTAGCAGCTAGAATATGAATAAGATAGAATATGAACAAGATAAATTCAAAATGAATTTAATCATCAAAATTACTTACATAACGTTAATAAAGTTAATGCATTTTCAATATAAATATATGTGATGTTTATATCTTGTCTTTGAAAATTCTAACTAGGAAATGTGGTGTTTAGAAAAATTTTATTTAATTTACTTGGTTATTTTTTTAAAAAGATCTTTATATAACATCAATATGGCTTATCACTTATGAAGAAACTTTTTAAAAATTTATTAAAATTTTGATTTTTTTTGATTTTTTTAAAATAATTTGAAAATGATTAATGCATGTTTTTGAAAGTTACCATGTATTTCATGTATTTTCAAATCAACTCAATTTTATTTATATACCACAATCAATTATTTCAAACATTCTTCATCTATTTATTATGTATTCACACTTTTTTACATATGTAAACACAGTCTGTTAAATTCTTTTATCATAAATAGATTGTCAATGTATGAATCCTTCACTTTGATTAATTTCCATGCAAATGATAATTTAATATCCAAAAAAACTCCTTCATTCAAAAAAATTCATCTTTATAAATATGATTTATTAGCTTTGAATGAAATTCATAATTAATGCTAGCTCAAAAGATAGATATTTCTTATAAAACTAAGTAGTTATTTCTAATATTTAGTTCATGAAAAACATACTGGTCAAGTAAAAAATAACCATTATGTCTTAATCTTAATCATTTAATGAGATCATATCTTTTAACTTCATCATATCATTTGAAAATATACTCTACCTTATATTGCAATCATTCATGCAAATAACCTGAATATTTATTTTGCTAAAAAACAAAAAAAATTCTATCCATTGTTTTGAAATTATTGCTTGATCTAACACATATATTACATCATTATAATGCTTTTCATGTAAATTTCTTTAATTTTAATTAATTCTAATTTTAATAAAAGATTTAAAATTTAAATAATTAGTCTTAAATATTTTTGGTTGAACTTCATTTTGAAAGTAATAAATTCATATAAACAAGAGTTTTTAATTACTTTATTCCCTGAAACTTTGACATTAAATATAGTATAACTTGTAGTTGCTGCATATCTATCATGCATAACTTATCAATTGACATCATTGCAAAAACTATCATCAATGAAATATAAATTACAACTATATCAAAGCCTTTTGCTCCATGCAAAATTTTTAATTATACCAAAAATCACTTCATAACGTTGACTCAAACATATTTATTTATATGATATGTTGAGCATTTTTTGCTCATAATTTGTGACTATCTTGTATTGAAAAGCATACAGATCAACGATTTATCCGTAAATTACATGTTTTTCTCTAAAAAAATCCAAATTTACAGCCCATGTCAAACATTCCGATTTCATATGTTATCAACATCTTAAAATGTTACATGATAATGCTTTAAAATTTATTAATTGTTATGATACAAAAGCCTAATCTACTCTCTTTGACCAATGTTAAAGTAATCCCAAACTCTATATTTTAAAACTCATACAAGTCGATATTCCACCTCATGAATAGAAAAATAAAGTATTATGATTTATGATTTACATTAAAATTACAAACACACTAATTAAGATTCATCATTTTATATGTATGTCATCTGTCAATAAAATTCTGAATGTATATCCATATTCAAAAACTGTTTGAAGTGAAATTCATTCGGTAGTTTTAATCATGCAAAATAAGATTTTTTTATCATAGATATACACTATGTGCATAGGATCAAATTCTTGATGCATAAAACATCACTAATAATCATATTACATAATAACACATGATCTTACACTTCTCATAATTTTCACATAGATCACCTCATAAAAAGAAATAACATACATACATACATACTAGTGAATGAGTTTAATATTCCATGAAAGAGTCTAACACACGAGACATCTTCCAAAGTAGGCTCGGATGTAAAACTTGTAATTTACCATTTATCATTTATGTGTTTGTATTAGCATTACAAAACTATCAACAATGATCAAAGATTTTGCTATCAAAGCATCAATTGTGCTACATTGGTACCAAAAATGTCTTACAAACTCACCTTGCTCCTGATACAAATATTAGTGTCAAATTGCAATATAAGATACCAAATTAAGTTGATACTCCCAAATATTGACAAGCAATATGTATTCACAATTTCGCAATGCTGTCACATAGCAATAGTGTGAATCAGTTAAGTTGTCACGTACATCTCTTGAGCAAAGCAATCACTCCAAACTTGATTTAATAACAAATGTACCAAGTGTTATAGCTATATTTTTCATCCATCTCCATGACACTGCTGTCCTCAGGGTTGGTATGATAATATTATACTCTCGACATGGACTATCATGTGCATACATTTTCACTCCAAGAAATGCAACACAAGGTGTGTCTCCACTTTGGAAAAGACTAGAGCCGATCTTTTATCGCATTAAATCTACTCACGGTGATATAGGGGCTATCTCTTCTCAATGATCCCTGTTATATCTCATCTTTGGGTAGAACAATGAAACAAACACTAATTCATCAAATAAAGAAAAGTATATTTCTTTCAAATTCAATCTAAGTAAACCATATAATTGTTTAAATACTTTACTCTGAACCTAAAAAAAGTAAACAACAAAACTTTCAGCTTAAATGTTTAGTATCATTCACTCCCAACCTAGAATATGTAAACACTCCAAACTGTATACGTCATCAAAGCCGGCATGAGGCCTACATTTTCTTTGGTAATATGACAGGTAGACCTTTCATTCTACTTGTTCTTTATTGTCCAACTTTGATGTAAGGAAATCATTGTGTCAGTTTATTCTGCATGTAAAATTCGAAAGGTCTCCTATTTCAAATCTTGCGAAAGCCTTTCGCCTATCATTCACCAAATAATATCAGAGTAATGAATTTTCTCAATTGTTCCACCTTGGCAATCTGGGTATATGAGACATATAAGAAAGCTTTCATTTATTCAGATATTCACCTACATCATGTATGCATTTAATGCGACATGTTTGTACAACTTCATTCATTGAATCATCAACCTCTTCTATTCTACGAAAGGACATATAAAGCGAATAGGATTGAAGTGTGAAGCGAGCTTTTACACTTTCAGCGAATCCATAGAACATTTCGTGCAGTCAGAAATCCTTCAACCTACAAATCCAGGTTTGAATAGCTGCTGTGGTGACTACAGACACTAAGACCACAAACGCCCTTCTGACTGTGAAATGTATACGGGTGAATTGTTTGGGATACTTCTGGGGAATATTAATTCCATTGTTCAGTAAATGATGGATTTTCGCTTCCTCTCCACTATAGAAACAACCTTCCTGGAGTATTTCAAGAGCATATGTCTTACGGATAAAATACGAAAATAGAAAATAATTAATCTTCTTATCCCTGTATGGGATGTCAGCACTCATGTCAATAAGTTATAATTCTAACTCTACTTGCTGCTTCTGACTCTGAGACAATCTCTACTTATTGATCCAAGGTATGTCTAGCTTCCAAGCCATGTGTGCATTCTGGTCAGCTCCGATCATTTTCATCAGTCAATGCAACTGTGTCCTATCCTATTGATCTGTCTTAAACCTAGAATCTGATTACTTTCCAGCTTATCTGATCGAACCTTCAAAACAACCTTGTGTTATATCGACGTACTCGATTGATTCTTCTGAACTTGTCCTCCTGTAGCATTTGTTCGAGCACTCTGTCTCCAATGTGTCGATCTATGCGTAAGATCTTATCAGCACCGTAACCCCCTTCCGCTATGTCAAAGGTTTGGTCCATGAGAACTCTTGAAAACCAATCCTTCTGAACAGCCGCCTGAAGCATGGTCTCCTCCTGCGTGTCTGCAGCCACCAATCTGTACACGAAGACTTTGCGCTTCTGACCTATTCTGAATGCTCGACCAACAGCTTGTCTGACGACAGAAGGATTCCAGAGCACATCAAGAATCACGACTCGTGAAGCTCCTACCAGAGAGATGCCCTCTTTACAAGCTGTAATCGACGCTAACATAGCTTTGACTGTGTTCCCTTCAGTATTGAACTGCTCGATAACGCGTTGCCTCTCATCCGATGGCATTGTGCCATCCAGGGACAAGAAATCCACATCCTTTTCCCATCCGAATACGCCGGTAAGCATGGTCCTTATGAGAGCAAGTGGAGCCAGAGTTTGACAGAATATGAGCAATCTCTCACCTGAATTACTGCACAACTGCAGGAGGTAGATGAGGAAAGCTGTTTTAACTCCTTTGTTTGGGTCCGCACACTCTACCACTTGATCTGGAGAAGCTGAAGTAGCCACCGTGCTGCCTGCCGTTTTCAGTAAGGCAGGGTGGATGCAAATCTCTGTTAGCCTGATTTTCTCCTCAAGACCTTTTCTGCCCTGCAAATGAGAGTGTAGCTCTTCCTGATAAGACGTAAGATTCAGGTAAATAACGTACTCCATCAGACCTGGAAGATCATCAAGGATTTTCCCGGGATACCAATGTATGATCGGTGAAGTAAGACTTCGCAATTTCTGCATCACACGGTTTATCTCTTGATAGTCATCACCCCCTCTCAAAAACTCATCCAATTTGAAGCCAATATCTTCCATGAAAATTTGTTCTTCACACTCCCTCCTTATGCTGCTGCTGATGATAATTTCTTTTGCTGCATCATTGAGAACAGGTCCGCCCCACTTTCCTGCAATTTTAACACTTTTTTTCTCTTCCAGGGTTTTCAACCTGGGACTGAACTCAGGAACAGACGCCAAAACGTCGTGTCTGATTAACTTCAAGAGATTGAACAGCTCCTTGAAATTGTTCTGAAAGAGAGTACCAGAGAGAAGGATCTTGCGCTCGGTGCGAACCAGCATCAAAGCTCTTGAAATCTTAGTTCTTTTCGTCCTTGGAAAGTGTCCTTCGTCAAGGACCATAAGATCAGGTCCCTCTAGTAAACCCTGACATATATGTTCCTTGATGGAACCTCTATTCACATCCTTAAGTCCGGACGTGATCAAAGAAGCAAAGAGGTTGTAACTGATGATTAAAACACTCCTCGTTGCAAGCCACTTTCTGATGAGTTTGAGTTTTTTCATACAATATCCGGCATTCCTCTTACTCCTTTTCATATCTTCAGTCGCAAGTTCTGTCCCTCTACATTCGTTCAGGTTGTAAACGGGAATTTCCTCTGCATTCCAATGTTCAAACTCACGCTGCCAGATTCTGAGCATAATCTTCGGTGCAACAATTAGAACTCGGCCTCCAGGAAGAGCCGTCAGAAAACTTTGTATAAAACTGATCGTTAGCAATGTCTTTCCTGTTCCTGGTGCATGGGCAAGAATGCATCCTCCTGGTTTTACCTTGCTGATATGACCACCAATGAGATTCTTGACAAGGAAATCAAAGCCTTCTTTTTGGTGTTCTTTTAGCACATCTTCATGAAATGGATGCAGTCTTAATTTCAGTCTGTGTGATCCCTCCATGTGTGCAAGTTCTCCTTCAAGCACACCACTGGTGTCCAGATTACCGTGATCATCATCTTCAGATTCCTGACGTGAGAATGGAGCCTTGCGTTTCGTCGGTAGATGCATCTGTAAGAAAACAAATTTCATTAGGTTCTGTTTGGATGATGTGATAGACATAGAACAGAATCTCTCTCAGAATTTATCAGTGCTGAGAAAGTTTGCTCCAAAATTCACAGATGCGTTTATGGAGATTACATTTAATAGTCATCAGGCTAGATGTGTCGGAGTAAGTGATCGATTTCAATAAGCTTACCTCAGGAATGAAAATACTTTGGATGTCCTGGATCACAAGCCCACAGATTTCACAAAACCAGCCTATTTCATCATCCCAACTCCTCTTGTGCTTACAAATATCACTTGTCGAGTTCTTCTGAGGGAGTGCCTTTTTCTGCTATACATGTTAGATAGAATGTCAGATACACGTCAATTGTAGAGACTTAGAGAACAAAACTGAGTAGATCAGAAAATATAGAAGGGTACGTCGCTTACACATCCATTTTGTTGAATAAGAGCCAAGTCTCTGAATATATCTTCCATCTCCTCGTCTTCTGGTGTAGAATCAGCCACCTTCATATCTTCGTCCCAATTAAATCGGTAAACTTCGTAATTTATTGTTTCATCCCTCTCATTTCTATTTGTCAAGACAGGTATATCGTTCTGAATGGTTGTCTTCACATTGGAATCTCTTCTGTTGCCATCTGCAACAATTTTTGATTGATTTTCACCTCCCCTCAAAGTATTATTCATATGATCTGACATGGCTGTTGGTGCTGGAACATCTTTCAAAATCAGAGTCATTTTCCTATACTTGAGATAGTGTCTCTTAATGTGGGTAAATCGGAGTTTACGCTTCCTTTTTCCTCTCTTCCTTCTCACTGAAGTAATTTCCTCACTACAATCCTTTCGAACAACCAAGGTCATGGCACAATCTGCTGGATCTGTAACATCACTGTAGCTGTCAAGAGGATTTGCATCAGAACCGTTTCTAGCAAGAGCCTCTGTCACGATCTTACATTCTCGGATAGCTAAACCGAGTTCATTAATAATCACATCACGCAGTTCACCTACAACATCGTCAATTTCACGATTCAGCTCAGTATCCCCTCCACTTAGGATGAATGAAGCATTTGTGTGAGTATTTCCTCTATACTCTTCTTCATCTGCTTTCTTAAGGCCTCCAAAATCTTGGATGCCTTCACTATCACCTTCAAAGCTCGTCTTCTCCTGAATGTAAGTATCTACAACCAAAGCAATGAATATACAATCATGATGGTGGATATCGAAAATGTCTCAACCATTCGTGAACGTTAATTTCGAAATTCAAATAACATTGTATCTTCTTTGTTTCAACTATTCTAAGAAATTACAGTAGAATTTACTATCGGATTTCACTCTTATCTCATTTATTAGTCAAGTAGCTCTTCTCCTATTTTATTTTGGTTCTTAAAGACAAATTAATACCATGTATTTGATGTCAGAGCACATTCACCAGCAGTTTATGCGGGAAATACTTTCCTGTACTACTAATTTTATATATAAAACTTTTGAAAGCTTAACAGAATGGACATGTAGGGTGATTAAAACATATAGAAAGCTGAAGAAGAAAGCAAGAATTCAAAGTCGGGCATAAAGCAGCACCTGCAATTCATGTATGAATAAGACTGAGTACCTTTAAATGAATGAACTTCAATGTCTTTCATCCTTCCAACTTTACTTGCTTCCTGACAGAGAAGAAACTGATGAAAACATGAGTCAGTTCAGACCGTGACAATCCGAATTGCAAAGTTGGCCAAAGTATCTGAGGTTCTGGAATTTAGTTTATTAATTCTTCAGGTGACAATAATCAAATTAATATCCACAGGTCCACATAAATTTCATTGAGAGGCTGCCGGTCCCATATGGATCACCCACCTTTTCGGGGTCTACTGCAGTGGCTCATGTACAAGACTGGCTTGAAGATGCCTCGGAGACTGTAGAATAGAGTGGGACAAAGTTCGGAGGAATTCAACGTACCTCTTCACCACTGATATATTCATGAACAGGACCATGTGTGGGCGACTGTTTGATTTCTGACTTCAACTGAAACAAAATTTCACAGACAAAGAAATTTCTGAATGATCATGTTGGATATCACAAACTTCGTATATAATCAGGACATAGTGAAATAAGAACGACAGTACAATCTGAACACTTAAAAGATAACTAACCTTTTTCCGACTCTCGGAATTGAAAGACACTGATGCCACTGAATGTAATCGCTTTCTTCCTGAACGAAGACAGCCTATTGATGATCGTAAATAGGGGGCCATTGAGTTCACTTTGAATCTAACGTGTTGAATAATCAGAAAACACTGAAATAGTCGGAGGGTAGCGGAAGCTGTAATTAGCTTCACGAATCTGATAGAAAGCATTGACAGCCAGTATGAGATGAGATTATGAAGCGATATACATCAGAGGACTCAAACGACTATCTTTAATTAGGACTGGCATCGATATTCGAGTAAATATCATACGGATTCACAATCGAATTTGCTACAATTTATTTCTCAGCTGGAGCTTCTATGGCTGGAAATATGGTATCAGAATGGACTCAATGTCAAGGACTGCTTAAGATGATTTTAGAAAAACTCTAGATGAGTGAAGATGAGACACTAAAGCTTGGTGATTTCCAATTCTCAGGTCTCAGTGTAGACAGTATGGAGAATTGTTAGCATTCTGTAGCACGGTGAAAGCCTGTGGGTGGCTCGTACCTAACACATTGACGATGAAAACTCAGGATTCCATCACAAGAGTGTATAACCATTCCCATGATAATAATGGAAATAGAACATATCAGTCCACCATACGTGATTCTCGTCATTGTAATGAATCAGCATATCACCTGCACATTCTGTCTGAGCTTATTGGTGTGAGTGTCCCAGGTCCGTCGATGAAATTTGATTCATGTACTAAATTTATCAACCATCCTTGCTAGCTATTACTATTACGAGTATTACATATTTATAAATAGTATGAAATTATACATATATATATATATATATGTTTTTTACTGGTAATTATCAATGGTCTCATGCACTAATACTCTACGCGGTGATATAGAAGACAAAGAAGAAGAGTACAATCAAATTTTGGGGACTGTAGAAAACACTAATGGAAGCTTTGCTTCTCCAACTCAAATGAACAGAATGATTACTATAGTTCAATCACGAACCAGGGCTATTGCTTTTGGAAACAGTCAGAGCACGCAGCTAAGAACTGTGTGAATGGACAATGTTGAGTAGAGGCAGAGTGAGCGAAGACTAACCTACCATACAAGAACTTCAGTAAAAGACAAAACATGGCAACTCCATACACCAGTCGCTATGACAGTGCTCAACCAAGCATCACTAGTTGGCGATGAGAGGTTTACGTACATGTTCTTCCACGATGTTGTTACATTCCACAATGATGATGCCTTCTAAGGTGACGACATTATCCTCTGATGATTGACTCCACCAAGAACTCACTGTACACCTCATTAGTCACAGGTCTCCCATTCGCATCACTACTCCCACATTATGTCTTCCTGTTTCGCGACAAGTCCATCGCCGCTGAGCGCAATTTCAAATCGAAATACCACGTACGAGAATTTAAGCCCAACACAATCCACATCGACCTGTCAATACATGGGAACTCTCCACTTCTCCAATTCTCCATTCCCCGCGCGATGCCTTCCACTCGAAGCACGACGGCAGAAATTCATAAAGGGATAAACTCCACGATTCACCGACAGTATCACATTGTGCACATCCTGCCGCTCGGATGAATGAATGACGTTGGATTTGAATTTTTGACGTGCATTGAATCAAAATCATCGGTAGATTCTGAACTGAATCACTTACACTCCAGGCTGCATTGTATTTCCTCAAATCGAATCCGCCACGCGTCACTCCCTTCCTTTTGATATAATCATAACCAAACACTGTTGAATTTTTCCGTTTGTTATACATATGCACCACCGTCTCCATCTTGCAAGTAGCATTCTCTATATTTCTTTCAACCTGTAATATGCGAAGCTGATGTTTAATCACCTTGCTTGTGAATGAACTAACTTGCCGTATATTTTATTCACCAACATCTATGATTTAAATTCTCCCTACTTACCATTCGTTTAATGCTAATCTCACAGATCATACTGTCATTAGATGTATTCTTCTGCATTCTTCATTCATTTTCTTCTCTAATCATAATTACTTGACATAGACTAACATTTGATTCTTGAACTTAATACATTCGATCATATTTAAACGTATACAAAAATTATAGACATTGGTCTATAATTGTTGTATACGTTTATATATTTTCAAGAGTTTAACTGAGGTTAACCATTTTAGATTCAAAATACTTCAGTCAAAACGAGAGATATGAAACATACTTATGTAAAATCTTTTTGAGAAGTAGACAAAATTATTTAACATAAATCACCTCTCGTTCCAAGAACACATTTTGCTGTTTTAAACTTAAAATGGTCAAAGTAGGATGACAGAATGTAATTTTATCTAAGCCAAACTATAATACTAACCTTCATCTAATTTTTCTAAAAGCTTTTAGTCTAACTTAATCTAAAAATCTGTTTAGTTCGTAAATTTTATTTTATTTTTAAAAAAAAATTGAAAACTCACCGTGTGTATAAGTGGAATTCCAAAAGGAAATTATTTTTTATTTTCTTAAGGAACTCCAACTTGTATAGTCTTAATTTCATTTTCTTATTTCATATTCTTCGATGGTTTGACTAGTGATTAAAGATCTTTCAACTTTACCATCTTAATAATGAACTTACAGAATTTTTTCGAATTTATATTTTATTTATCCTACTACCAAAATCAATATTCAATAGAAATCATCAACGACTTTTTTATTGGCAAAATTTACTTTACCATCTTGATCTTAAAACAATATACATTTTAAATTTTTAAAACATACTTCCAAAATCAATATTCAAAATTCAATAGAAATCATCCACAAAAAATTGGTCTAAATTTACTGTTCCATCTCGATTTAAAACTAACATAATAATTTTAATGTTTATAATTTTTAAATAGGAATTATACTTCCAAAATCAATCTCCAATAGAAATTAGCAACGACTTTTTGTGTGACATTTACTGTATTATCTTGATCTTAAACTGTCGAAATATTTTGATCATACTTCCAAAACCAATCTTCAATAGAAATTATCAACTATTTTTTTTTTTGGGCGATTCACTGTACCATCTTGATCTTCAATTAACATAACTTTATTTCATTTATGATTTGTGTGTCACAATTCCAAAATAAATCCTCAATACAATTTATCAATTGTTCTTTAATCTACCATCTCGGTCTTAAACTAGCAAAATATTTTCACATTTATAATTTATGAATTATAATTCCAGAATAAAACATTACAAAAAATTTATCAACGACTTTTTAACAATAAAATTGAAGAAATGGTCTAGTATTTTTTTCTACTTATTTTAGATTACACGTATTTTCAAAAGTACATTCTGCTAAAAATAAATTCTAGAAACATCATAAAACAGATTTATATGTTCTTTGCCAAGAACAAAGGACTGTTTATTCTTAATCATTTCGAGATGTCTCGTTATATTTATTTCACTGTCTTCAAGTGTACAATGCTGTATGTGGATACGTCGTGTTTGCTCGATGGCCCTGTACTGCTTGAGGTATATCACCTTCAGTTCTGAGCCTCAAGTCACACGCGTGAGTCCTGACTCAAAGTTGCAAGGCACAAGATTGTTCTCAGGGTCGGAAACCTCAATCATGAATATGACAAATCTCGTTACTACGCAGATGATGGAAAAGACAGAAGCTCACCTTGACCTCGGAATGAATGAACGAACGACCATGAGAAGGTCTCTGGAAACCTGCTGGTCGCAAACTTGTTAAGAAGCTGCTCTGGCTTGAGGACAAGACCTCTTAACGGATACCAAAATGGCCTTTGCTCATTGCAAATTTATCTACACTTGAGACTGTGAAGGAGCTGCTATACCGAACGCAGCGTTATCATATCCACTATGACATTGCTACTTCCAGTTGTCAGAACCAGAATTCTCTTAAATGATATTTTGAATGATATATCAGAATACAGAAGTCTTTACACTTCTTGAGCGGATGGTAGAAAAGTTCCTTATATACTATATTATAGCTATCGTATTCAATAACAATGTAATGCAAAAACAATGTACACATCAAAGCAGTGGAAATCTGCGTTAAAGGTTAATAGGGCCAGATTAGTGAAGTGTGTTTGGATTAAGGGCATATTTATATTTGTGGGTTACTAAACTAGTAGTTTTATTGAGTTTCAATGAATTTCTCTTTCTAAGTGAGAACATTATGTATGAATTAAAAGGTAGTATGTCAAACCATTTAGCTAGTGTATACGGTTATAATTATGCCTATGTTTATAAGAAACTTTGTAATCAAGCAAAACTAACAGACAACTAAACAAGTTAAGTACAGCCGTTTAGTTGTAATAGGGTTTAGACATAATTTCGTACTTAAATACCTTCAAGATCTCTTCAAAGTACGAAATCTGATATATAATATGACGTTTTTAATTCAACATAAATAGAACTCAAAAACTATGCCATATTTCTGAACTCAAATGTTAGGCATCGTAACGATAAAGGTAAAAACAATATTGATTTATGTACTTAAACGTTGATGATGATACAAGGAAGATGACGAAGATCAAGAACGATTTGTTAGCAAAGAGAAAAAAATTCTTCAGATATAGCATATTAAGAATGTAGTTGAATGTCACGCAAGTCATATAAAAGTAAAATTATTATTTTTAAAGGTCATGTTACAGTTAAGAAAATAATTAATGTACTATTAATCAAGGATGTCAAAAGTTTGATATCAATTGTCTTGTAAACACAAACCAACACAAGTCTTTTGTTTTATTACAACCTCTTATCAACCTTAAACATCAATAATACTTTTATATTTACTATATTATTACAGATAAGTAATTCACTTTCAGAGACTCATGAAATCACGGATTTTGTACCTAAACTTATTGACTTTATTCAAACTCAAATTTTAAAAAATACAATGATGAGTCAAAGATTTATACATTTGTGACTGTTTTTTTTAATCACAAAGTGAGCAAATCCTTAATTAGTGATAAGTGATTATATACATCGTTTTGTAAGATGAAGGAGAAGTGAACTGACGATTCCCAAAGAAGATGCGATGGTTGTGACTTGCAGAGAGTAAATTTAACCAATAGCAAGTCAAATTCTTTTCGTGAAACACTACTTTTATGCCATGAGATTAAAGCAAATTGCACGACATGTGATTCAGTGTCCACACTTGGTGTTTTCAGACCTAAGCTGGCAGTATGGGTGAATGAATAAACCATGACACGCAAGCGTCTGTGCTAGACATGAAAAATGTTCCACTTTGGATTAGAAGGCGCCTTGGCGCTGGCAATGAAGGTTTAGGTGAATCTTTCGTGTCGAATGCTGCAGCTGCAACGGGAACATATGTACTCTCTATAACCTTCAAAATTTTGAGGTTTCTTGCTAGATTTCATATTTTGCGCTATATATCTCACGAGTAGATTGTTTATCAAAACCGGAGTGGCCCACCCGAGACGGAAGTAAAGTATTGTTCTAATATCTCCATTCGAAAGTACCATGTGACTGTGATAGAGGTGTCGATCGCTAAAGCTTGTGTGGTTTTCATCCGCTGGGTGCAATGAAATTGTACTCTATAAAATGGCTCTTCCATACTATGAAATCTTTCTGCGCCAGAGAGTTTCACAGGAGGATAAACTCCACCAAGGAAAGGGTGAAAGTAAGCTAAATCATGCAACTCGGTTGAACTTACACACTCGACATCTGCGGACTGCATCAGACAGAGCCTTATCTCCTCAACCATCCTGACAGCCATATCCGTTCGAAACCGGACTTCGGTTGAATCTGGTTGTTACATCCGACGTCTGTTGCGAATGCAAGTTACACCAAAAATCAAGAAATATCAAAACGAGAATAGCGTACGGATTGCTTAGAAGTAAGTTCGTTCTTTATGAAATGGATCAAGCTACTACACACATTGCAGACTTGGACCTCTTGTAACTCGCATTTACTGTGTGGAAGAAATTTGCCATCGTCTGATGTTATCAGCTACGCAAAGGGAAAAGAAACTCACATTGGAGATGATTTGTCAGTCTACTCAAATCTCTTGTTGAGTCAAAAGCTTAGCTTTCCAGATGCGTATAGCAACCCATAATGATACACCACCAAGGGTGATGACGAGAAGGCTGAGACAACTCGTCCACTTAAATCTGAGTGAGATGTGATAAGACAACTTGAATCTCATGTGGACATGAGAATTTGATGGAATTGCAGCTACCCGTCGCTTGTGTAAGCAATTTTATCTTTATGAGAGTCGAAGCGACTTTACTTGTACCTGATTTGATGCGATGCGAAGGAGTGCGAGAGATGTGCTACACTGCTACCACGGACCTTCATACAGGCTGATCAGAATAATACGACTTCCCGTACTTCCTGATTTCAATTTATCCATTATTCTATATTATACTCTACGCACGTATGATTCACAAAAGAGAAAGAGAAGAAATAGCTATACAAGCCTACGTCAGGAGCATGTAAACCGGTGCAAAACTTTGATATGAATGTGACTAGCCTTTTATCTTGCTTTTATTAGTTTTCGGATAAGAAATGCTTGACCGAGAAAGAATATGAAACAGAAAACAATGCAATAAAACTCAATTACTGCTCGTGGTGTCTTCTCTCAATGTATTCTTTCACCAGCTTCCGGTTAATTTCGAATATGAACCGCATACCCCCGACCTGAACACAAACAAATCAATCGAAATATCGGTGTGAGTAGGCTTAAGATGTTAATTGTAAACGGGAACCAACAACAAACCATACATTATCGTTGCATGGAGGTAAGAGAGAAGAAGTAAAAATTTCGAGTGATTATGCAAGCCGAGCAGAGTAGACACTTCAAGTTCACGAAAACACGTGCTAGACTAGAGAGACAAATGTCCATTCGTACAAAACATATGAACTAGTAAATAGATGTACAACTAGTTAGGAGTAGTCCGGTTGATGGCAGAGGAAGACGAAGATAATAAGCCGTGCTAATTCGTTTTTGCCTGTAGTAACCAACACACACCCTGCACTCAAGGTAAGTGATGCTGGGTAGTAAAGAGGCGAGTCTGTCCTAGTAATATTTCTCCCGATAATTTAGGTTCATTCACTAATACCAGATGTCATTCAATAACACCCTTCGTTAGCTCATGTACCCGTAACGTTGTGTGCTTCTAGGAGCCAATGACTCATCAAGAGAACAGCAGCTCTTGACTTACAACGAAGCTAAGATATTCTCATGTAACTTACAGCCGGTGGAACAAGAGATAGTATAACACGGAATGAAAATAGAAACTTAAACCAGGAAAAATTGGTTGAAAGATCTCCTCGAAGTGGACATGCGGAACTCAATGCAACCTATTCTCAGCGGAAAATGGTCGAAGGTAAGTAAAACGAAAAATGCTTGCACCACCGCCACACTGGTGTGGCGGTGGTGCAAGCATATCCGCCTTTTAGTTGAACATTTTGCTCTGACGAGAGGGTAAGACAAGAAGGACTACCGTGAGAAACCTTTAATGAGAAATAGCCTCTAAGACTATTCACTCTGATCACGCCAGTAGCTGTTGCTAGCCTGAATCATCGAACGCGATTAAGCAGTGGCCAAAAAGCTACGTTACATTGCAATGCGGAGTATACCCTGAACAACTACTTCGTGAAGCAATTTTTCTTGATCATCATCCAAGTCGATCAACCTAACCTGACACAAGATACCGAGTAGTCTAAGCCTGACGGCTGTCATCCGAATAAATCAGATAACTATCTCTAGAAACCCAATCTAAATTGTCATCTTTAAGATATGATGGAATTCACCTCGCTACTGAGTAGTACAACTTTGGTGACCAGGGCGATCCACAATTCGAAAGATAAAAAGAGACAAGCAAAAATGGGAAAGAGAATGCAAGAGTGCGAAACATGTGCGACTGACAACCGGTCATTTTGAATGGTCTTGACCACAACAAGGATTCTGATCATACACGAAGGAAATACAACTAACATACTGCTGAAAGAGAAATGTGGACAATTAGGGTCAAAGCACTACCTCGATAAGGCAGCTTGATCCCAAAATAGCTCGTTGACCTGTTTCAACAGCTTTGTTGTTGACAGTAAGGCCACGTCGTCCGAGGTTACGTAAGTAAAAGACTCCATCATCCTTCAATTTGATGTTTGCCTGTGAAAATCGTTGGTGATGAGTAAAAGGTCACAACTTTTCAGATATTCAAATATATCTGCGACAATAATTGTTAACATTCTTACTTCAATTCCACGTGTAGCTGTACTGAATACACCTGTATCAGAAACTTGTGCATAAAAATCGATTTGAACTCGCTTGATCTGCTAATCTTTTACAGGATACACTGAAAACCGTAAAATTTGCACAGCAGTTTTATTTCAGTTATCGACTACCAACCTGTTGACGAGAAACTTTATTGGCCCGCCCTTCTTTTCCTAAATCTATGTCGACAGCATTATCGGAAGTAGCCCGTCCCATCATTACCTGGCCAGATTAAGAAGCACTTGCTCATCTTAGAGATACGGAAGATCTTGTGCATAACAACAACTCTATGAAAATAAGTAGCACGCCTGATTCATAAACAACACCATCTGCTATATTAAAAGCACAATTCTGTGAATGTTCTGTAACAACATTTGAAGCAAATGTTGTTACAGAACACCTCCGACTAAGAAGTCTTAGTTTCTATCTTATGTTAAAAAAATACACTCTTGAAGGCCTAAAGGCTTCTTGTTCAAAGTCAGTCAGGTGGCAATTAAAGTTTCTCCCACATCTATATTAGTACTGCAGTGAAGTACTTGACTAGTTGGAAGAAGAGACACAGAATCATGAACATAAATTACTCCTAAGATACCAAATGGAATTACGGTTTACGAAACGGCCGAGGCAACTGTTAAGACAAGGCCTGTACTGTTTCTTGTACATGCCTTGACCTGCTGATCACATCCGCATCTCAATTGAAGGAAATAACAGTCGATGTCCATAACGTCAGGAAGATAAACACAAGTTTTGAAAAGTCCGACAGCATGTTAGCCCGTACCCGCTCTGTGCACTCAGCCATCATAAAATAACTTGTTCAAACCAGTAAGCGTCAAATACGATCCATATCTGAGGCTTACTAATAAGAATACATATATACAAACCAAAGTCTTTATCTATAGCGATTAGATGAGAGGAACGAACACTAACCCGTACGTGAAAAACGACAAGCATTCTGAAGAATGAAGAACAGTATGGGTCTAGGTAGAAGTGTCCTGATTGCCTATCAAAATATTAAAGCAGAAAACAAGATATATACAGAAATTGCACATGCTCAAGTACAAGGTCTTTACATGGTATGTGATAACCATACCGAACAAGTATGGTTCTCACATCGCAAGAAGTGCAACCAGAAAGGATGACCACGCATCTTGAATGTAAGATGTAACATACTTATATTTCTTGGAAAACAACATGGGAGGAACCAGATGAACCAGTCAAAACGAGGAAAGAGGAAACATAAAGGAGAAAGAAATGACGCAAGAGAGGTCTAAGGTGACACGGAAATGCGATCCAGTGCCAGTGAGCCTCAGTAACATATCAATGTGAAATATCACTTTAATCTCACACAACTCGGCGACTTCATAGTGTGTACCGTGGTGCATATTATGTATTTTGACCAGAGAACTTCACCCAAGATAGTTTCTCCGATCCAACACTCAAGTGTGGCAAAATAGCAGATAAGCAAATCAAAAATATAGTGCATCCAGAGAGCGAATCACACCGAGCAGAAAGTGTGTGTAACAGTGGAAACAAGCACTTCAGAAAGTAAATAACCACTTACGAACTAACTACCAGATAGCCTGGTCCTCTGTGAACACGGAAAAGTGTATATTCTTATTGCATGAATCGCCCATGCATCTGTCTAAGGAGAGTACGAGAAGAGATTGAACATATCCAAGGATATTAACGCTACACATCGAGAATTGACCAGTGCTCACAAGTAGATCGGCAAGAACCAGCACTCCTCGTCACAAATTTATGTTTAACTCACAAGCAACCTACCAGTAAAAAGAGCATACATTGTATTGAAATAATGATTTGAGAAACACGTGATCTACCGCAAGTGCTTAACACGCAAGGCGACCAAGGAGCACATACCCAGGAAGTACGACTATCTGAAGCTCTAACGAAGGCATTACCGGATGATTTGGAACTCTCGAGTAATAAAGAACAAGCCCGAAACACAGCATGACATCCTTGTGAAGAAATTGACAGATTCAATGACCAAGCATTTATAGAGTATTTAAAACAGTAGCCTGCAACATAGTTGTCGAAAGGGGAAGCAGGCAACCATCATACATGAGATAAAGTTCACGTATCACAGAAACAAGTACTGTGATCATCGTGCACAGTACTGTGAAACAAACGAGCCCACACGCACGGACAGAAAGAAGTGCGACATTATTCGTCTAATTAGATGTCGGATCAGGAACCAGAGCTGATCAACAATATATACTTGACGAGCATCAGTCCATTGCTGATACCGGGGTGAATAGGTTCCTGCACTGGGCCGCGCAGAGAACTGAAGAAAGCTTAAAACCCAACAGACCATATAGAATTTGCATAACTGTTGCGCAGACCTATTGAAATTATTGTAAAGCAGTTTAGTTATGACCTAAAATGGACCTAAAACATCAAAAGCCATAAAGAGATCCACAGCACAGGCTTAGCCATACGAGGAATAAGGTGCAAACGAAGAGAAAGACAAGCAATAAACCTGATAGAACTAACTATGAGAAGAAAAGAAAAAAACAATCCATGGTCCCGGTAGCGAGAGGTAAAAAAGAATCAAACACTCCCAACGATGAGCCGATAATGGCCTCAGATTGGCACCAAGAAAGTCAATCTTAATATTGTCAAAAGGTCAGTATTCCAAAAAGGACGTAGACGATCTACAAAGCTCATACAGACTATCAATATAATGGAAGAATATGCGGGAGGCACGGAAATGACCTTGTTTTTCACCATATGTGGATGACATTAAGAACCATTTTGAACAATATACAGACAATCTGTTACATTCAACCAACTTACTAACCACGTAGAGAACCTAGAAGAACTTATGTTGCCATAAAACGCACACTCACCTCAGTTTGAGTGATGTAGTACTTGAAATGTCTTCCGTAAAGGACCGCGAGAGCTCCATGAACGTTGAGAGACCTTTGCATTGCAGCTGATGCAGCTTGCTCCAGTCTTACGAATGCTCGCCCATGTCTCCTATATGTACGTCTAGATTCTGCGACATGAAAGATATTTCAGAGATCGATGCGAACATGCAATAGCATGGAATAAACTTGTCATATCAAGACGTCAAGAAAGCCACACACAATCTTAGACTCTGCCCAATTGGTGACCATAATCAACAAAGGAAATTTTAAAGCTGGTACCTGCTCGAGCAGAAAATTCATCGTCTGCGTCCAGATCCATATCCAGTATCTGCCAGAACTCCAAATACTTAGACCACATGCCATACCGACCAGTACAGCACAGCACGCCTGACACTACGTAAATTGTAAGAAAGGCAAATTTTTTACATAATTTTTTTGAAATCGTTTTCTTACTTAGTTGAACTTTAATTCAAAGCAAAACCTGCATATGTAAATAGATCAGTAGATCCAGTCGGGACTTACCATTGCCTCGATATCGGAAAACCGGACCATCTCTTCATCACTATCAAGCACCTCCTCTGGTGGTTCCAAGGCTAGCTTTGAAGATTCCCTGTTTGCCGGAACTTGCTCAATGGGAGGTATCACAGGTGGCAAATCTCCTAGAGTTGGGAAATCAGGCTCCAAATTACCTGTTTCTCCGTCTAAAGATACCATCTCTACCTGCCTAGAAGCTAGGTTGGGCGGGCATTGCGGTGTATAAGGAATGATTGTTTGACAGTCGACTGCCCTCCCCGAATTGGCTGGTTGCAGGTTGCCATCTACGGACATGTGTAAAGATTGTTGCTGTCTATTCGCAATAATTGGTGAACATGGTAAACATTGCTCAGACATAGAAGAGACATGTGTATTGGATACAGGACAGCTCATAAGATCAGCATTCCTAAAATCTATTGCCTCGTCCTGATAGGCGGTTGCTACTTCTCCCGCCCTCTCCACTTTGTCACTTGTCACCATCGTTACCCCGCTTCTATCTACAAATGATCCTAGCTTCGTAGGATCGTGAATGGGGTTACCATAAGTATCGAAGATCTCCGGTTCATGTTTGATGATTGCGGCATCTACTCTGAGAGGGCTTCCTACGTACATGTACTCATCTACATGATGCTCTCGGGCTCCCTCGGCTTCTACGTCGGCATCACCATCCCCTTCCGGTCCCGCATTGGCTATAGGACTCTCTAACATTGCCAAGTATTCGTCCTCTGAAGGTGAGGATGGTAGGGAGGGTGACGGCGGATAAGGTAGAACGTCATCGAGATTTGGGATGTCATCGTTGTCTTCCGTATTGAGAGTGCACACAGGATTCTCGAGACCAACAGAAGCTGGTATTGTGCAATATCCTTGGTCAAAATTTTCTCCATGTCTGTGGTCCAAGTCAAGCGTGCATGATTCCCCAGTTAATACCGAAGGTAAGAAGTTATCTTGTTCTTCACCCACATAGCATTGGTCATTAGAGGTGTAGTCTTCTCTACTCTCATCAGGATCTGCAACGTAATGTACTATGCGTCCACATTCACAGCATTCAACATCCTCCTCCAGCTTGTCGTACTCCTCAAGGTGAACATCCATTTCGGCATCGACACTAGCCCAAGGACTGTGCTCTTGACGTTGAGTGTTGTCCGTTACTTCCGACAAGGGAGGGTCAGCCCTCATAATAGGTGAAAGACAAGATAACTTGGTATCAGCAGCAACGCCGTCCCTGTGATCCATTACTGATACCGAACTTGTTTCACAGGGAATCTCAGCTTTCACTGAAGCATACTTAGCGTTGCTATTCGACTTCAAATGTGTTATGCTCTCCAATTCACCATCAACTGAAGCATACTCAGAGACAGAAGTAACGCCTGAAACGGTGTTCAGATGTGAGTCTCTGTAAGATGGCGCATATCCACCTATCGTTTGATCTTTGAGATGTCCATTGAGAGCAGATTCATCCATATGTAAGCCCGCACTAACTGCATATCCTTCTGCATTCGCGCCATCAAAATGCATGTCATTTCCAGCTCCTAAACTATCAACCTTGGAACAGTCATTTGATGCCTGCAATCGAGCATCCATTTCAATATCAGCTATGGTTATAGTTGCTTCGTCCTCGTCACTTTCACAAGGATGTGTGTGAATGACCATGCTCTGTCGGAGATGAGGTTCAGACATTGCAGAAGTAAGCTGCTCATTCTCTCCTCTAGTATCACCGGCTTCTTCTCCTTTGACTCTCCCTGTATTGAACATGTCATCCGTTTCAGCAGCCATTGTACCCCTGCTGTGCATATCATCCATCATTACACCAAGATCCTGCTCAAGTGTATCCATCGACAGGCCAGCAGGTAAAGCTCCAATAACAGCCCGGACGCCACCTGTGGCGAGAAGGCTGAACATTTGTGAAAACGACTGGTCATCAGAATCAAGTGAAGTTGTTTCCTTCGGGGACAATGACTCGAGTAGATGAGTATCCATTAATCCCATTGCCATGAAATCGAGATGTGGAAAGTGTTTTGAACCATGATCTCCTGGCATGTCAGAAGCAAACCCCATTCCCGGCATGAATACATCTTCGAGATCGTTGCCTATTAGGCCATTCGCACTGCCAGGAGGGACAGTTTCTGTGAGCACCTTCCTTCTCTTCTTGTAATACAAAGTGCGTATGCTGTTGGCTCTCCTCTTTCGAGCAAGTTCCAATGGATTATTTTGTTCGCTCACAATCTTCGGTCCTTCGATATTGCTAACAGCAAGCTCTGCTTCAACCATCCTAGCTGCGGCTTGAGCTGCTATCTCGGGATCGTACAAAAGAGCACGCCAGCGCTCCCTCAATTCTCTCACGGTGAACCGTCGAGAAAAACGCATAGCACCTTTCCCCAGAGCCTCCATAGCTGCGCCAGCCTGCAATCTTCCATTCTCTCCTTTAGGTAAAGCATGCAGTTTGGACGCTAAGCATAACTCACTAATAAGAACTCCGATCCCATTCGAAACGAACAGCACAATGTCCAGAAAAAGAGAAACATGACGGAGTTTGGGATCACTGAAGAGACTAATTAAGCTTCACCGTTATCCTCGACCAGCTGGTACCAATTAAAGTAACTGAGAGATTTATCTTACACAAAACTTTAGTAGATGAAAGGAGATATAGGATATTCAAAACTTCATAAGAAAAGCTAAAACGGATGATTATAAAACCGTCTTCCTGATGATGTCTAAGACCCATTTCAACAGCCTCTGTGCCCATCATATGGCGAGTCCTTAATCAGAAAGGGGCAAAAACATACGTCATTCCCACAGCACACATACAGGAACCTCAAACTAAGCGAAACATCTGCAGAGCATTTACAGTCATTGAGCATCAATCAGCACCTCCATTGCATTCTTCAAAAGCAGGTCGTCGTCCACCGTCCAAAGGCTGAAATCCGGCCGAGGACCAGACTCTGCAACGATACCACCAGTAAAAACATTGGGAGCTACTTCAGCAGCAACTTTTGCCTGCGCAGATCTAACGCTGCCGACCAGATTCTCCGCTGCATGAGTCAAAACATCATGATGAGTAAATATATGAGGAGAAAAGAACCCGGAAAAGTAAGAGCAATTTCAACAACATTTCGAATAAAGATACATGACTTCACCTCCATTCCAGTCCGGAGCTCTTATCACAGTCACGAAAGAAGTTAAGCTTGAGCCCGCGCGGAAAATCTTTCGCAAGAATGATGCAAATGCATGCATACCGCTATCCTCCCATGAAAGACTTCAAAGTCTTTCATGGGAGGATAATAATTAGCGGTATATAATATATAATAGTTTTTCATATATGATGATCATAATATCATCACTATCGTTTGAAAACTAGAACAAATGATTATTGTACGAATCAGATCGAGCTGCTGGATCATCGGACTAATCCGACGGCTGTAACACTCCTATAAATGTAAGGGGAATTGTCCATAGTCCGTCGTTATATTTTCTTAACCAGAGCATAAATCCTTATAAACAGTGGATTGTGTAGATGGTTGGTTGTTATCCTTAGAGCCTGCGTTAGTTTAGCTTCCAGCCATGTTTGAGTACTACATGTATGGAGAACCTTATCATAGATATCAAAATGACCTACTGACTCCTGAGACAAACAACATAATATCCATCTGGAAGCTAAAAGCTGTATGTTCACTGCCTAAATAGCAGCAGACCCAGTCCCTTGTAAATTATCTAAATCCTCCAAAAACCAAAACTGATGAAGTAAGACAAAACTGGGCATTTTTAAACCATTGACTTGTAAATCCATCAACGTGTTCAGAAATGGAATGAAAAAAAAAACCGGGAAGATATTTGAACTGGATTCCAAAAATCCATGCTCCCAGCAAACAAAGGGCAGGAAGATACGAAGCAAGTTTGAGGTGTGAACAGACCTTTCACAGGTTGTTTAGGAGACAATTTACTGCGAGGTTCATGGCTTATCACTTCGACCTTGACGCGCTTCTGCGGCCTTTCTGTTGCTCCAACTCCCTTCTTCTTCGCTGGTTCTCCCTTTGCACTAATAGCTTTTCTTTTCAGCAAACCCTGAAGCAAACATCCGTACGTCCAGTAACTCTAAGTCCCCACATATGGACATCAAAAATAATGCACATCCAATATCAGCAAACCGAATCGGAGCAGAAGCCAAAGATTCCAATTGAACAACCGGTGTACTTAGACAGAGTCATTTCTGAAAGAAAGTATGAGGTTCGATACAATTTGTTGAACTAAGTATTACTATTAAAGGTTGTGGACAGGAAGTGAAAGGGGCAACTATCACAAACCTGAGGAATGCGATCTCGCAGCAAAGATAAACTGCTCGCCTGTAAAGTTTCGGCAGCGCAAGGGTCGCCTGATATAGGATCATCTTGCTCCGGATAATCGATGTCCGGCAGAGGCACATGCTTCATGGCCTCAAAGACCATTTCCATATCCACCGGCTCATCTTCCTCGCTGTCAAAGAATGGATCCACTAAATCTGCTTCTTTTCCTTCCATTTCAAAAGTTTCCGGGTCTGATCTGAAATTCAAGTTCTCTTCCGTTTACGTAGCGACTCAGCACTGGATTCCATTTCATTCACTCCACGTGTCCATGGTGGAACGAAGTAGCATGTCAAAGTCACACCTCCCTCCTGTCAGTCCGCGTGCATTCAAACGAAGGCGTTCAGCCAGTTTGCCAGTCTAAGAAACCTAAGAAGCAACCCATTAATGGAGTTCAGTAGTGGGAGTAAAACTTTGGCAGCTCCCCTTACCCACCCTCAGTTCCTGCTTGATTTAACATCGACACTGCACCCAGCCTCCTGTACATATCTTCCTCGTCTTCTGGGTGAATGACTCTTCTTTGTGGCATCCTCGCAAGATGCCTCGTCCTTATGTGTAGTCGGAACTTCGCCAAATGTATTTAATCTTCGTGGAGTAAAACCTACACATCCGCAACGAAATCACCAATTCGAAGATTTGTGCACACAATCCGCGTGTTTGCAAGCACCACGACGAGTGAAGCTTCCCCTCTGGAACGACTTTCATCTGCTTAGATTTCGAATTTCGACGATATGATTACAAATCAGCTCGAAGTACTGCATTCTCAAGGGTGCAATCCACTTCGTCCATGAATCACCCGTCACCGCCTCTGCCACCATTTTCCGTCGCTCTCCCAGCTCTGACCCTAAGTTCCATATCCTTCCCTGCTCATCGCAATGCACACTAAAATCTGCCCTTGCAATTCCCTGCCACCAAATTCCTGACCTTCAACCCTAGCTCTTTGTCCTTCCCCTTCTCCTTCTCCTCCTCCTTCGAGGAACCAAGAATTCATTCGATTCCCGGCCTGCTACTCTATAAACGAAAACAACAAACGATCCCGCAAGTCAGAGTCCTCTTTCTGCAAGTGGCGACGACTCTTCGAGACAGCAAAACCCACAGTCGCACACGCACGCACGCACGCACACAAGCCGAACCAAAAACAAAAGGGGAGAAAACATATACTTCCGGATCCACTCGCGCTCTCTCTTCCTCTCTCCAGCTCTTACACGGCCAGGCCGCAGGCGCGGCTGCGCTCGCCTCAGCAGGCTCGCCGCTCTCGAAATCCTCCGACGCGATTGCAATCAAAAATGCGGAACCAAGAAAAAAAAATTGGAAAACGGTCGATGGAAACCTTGAGGACCAAGAAAGATATTTCCCCCTCTCGGGGCTCTGCTGCTTGGCTCGCTGCGCTTGAATGCGGTGGCGAGGAGTCGGCCCGCCTGCTCCACCAAAACACGGCAGAAATCAGCTGCTCGCTCGGGCTCTCGCTCCGGCTCCTGTACTTGGCGCATCGCCGAGACACGGGCTCGCTGTTTCGATGCAGCACAAGAACTCTCGGGCATCAAAAAACATGGACAACGAATTTTCAGATATTTAAGAGGACAAGAAAGGACAAGGCGAGAGCGGAAGCTCTGACCCCCGAAGGCTCCCCTGTTGCACCGCCTTCCGCCGGTCCTGCGTCGTGTCGGTAGCACCCCCGTACCACCGGATTTCGAGAGAAACCGGACGACGGGCCCAGTGAGGTCACTAACCGCATCTATATGTGATCAGTCGCCGCCCAACGTTTAATGGGTTCGGGCCCCATCTGCGGTCGTGGACTGCGGGGTTCTTACCACTCTTGTCTCGTACTGGTAACACGGTTTGACCGTTGGACACTTATTTGACTTCGAGCCAAGGCGGACAGCCATGGTGGTAACAAACGATATCCACGAGAACCTATTCCGCGAATTTTTACAAACTCAATGGTTGGTCTAGCCTTGTCTCTACTGCGACTCGCCGGTGGTTTCCACATCCACGTGTCCAAAATCATACGAGCTGCGCTTGCTATAAATGTTCGTCAGTCGCTGCCAGGTCTGCACCCCCCGCAGACCCCTTACCCCATTTACCTCGTGCTCACCACTGTGCTCTCCAGTTCGAACTGGTCGGTTATCGCACTCTACCTTCACGCCCCACATTAACTCCATGCTCGTGAGCTCCCCAGCGTTCCATCCACGACGTTATCCTTGCCACGTGTTATTTTCAAACGCCATCTTGCTCTCCACTTGAAGATTTCTGCGATACAATTGCGATATAATTGAGTGAAAATATTTCTACCGCAGTGCTTGATTCAGCATGTGCCATGGTTTACATCGATTCTTGCTTCAACTAATTCCTTTCTATATCTGTCACAATCCCTTCCGGTAGCCTTCTCTGACGTGCGAACGGTTTACCACAAGGTAAACATCGAAGTCAACTTGGAGGGGTCGTATAGATATAGCGGCTGCTTCATTACCTCAAGTAGAAATGATTACATTCATAGCGGGCATTCATTTTCTTGGCTATTCATATGCATAAATAATTTGGACCGATACTTGAAGTTTATGTTAAGAGATAATCACTTACTATCATGAGATAGTACGTGAAACACATGTGTGGTACCATATCTCCCTACATGCAGAAAGAAGAATAGGATGATTCCTACTAAAATAATTTCAGGCTAAAATATCACGGAAGACCCCATCAAGTCACAAGGAAGAAAGATGAAGGGAAAACCATAGGCTAATACTGCATATTAACGCGGCGAGAATAGTGCTGTGCATGAAGCGGTCCATTAATCCACGCGAAGGAAAGCTCAAAGTTGGTGCTGATCTCATATTCTACGATTGAGGAACGACTTGTGGTCAATATCCTGCGGCTTCATCTAAATTGTTTCCGCATTCTAACCTTTCTAGGAACTAGCTAGTTTCTAGCACCTTCCTCAACACCTTTCGTGCTTTAACTCACGTTCGATCACAAAAATGCTCCTCCCCTTTCTTTTCCCAAAATTTAACATATTCCTCCCAATCCTATCCCTCGGTTTCAAACTCCTCCTCCTCCCTTCGCATGGACGACGAGGATCCGCCAGCGATCGTCGTTGGGCTATTCTGTTGGGCTCCTCTTTGTCAACTAAATTGTTTCATACTCAACGACAAGGGATGAAACCAACCAAAAAAAACAATTCCACGACTGGTTATACTTGCTTTACCCTGCATGTTTTCAATACGTACTTATCACTTGGATGCAAGACGTATTAGATAGATGAAATTATAGATTGACTGTAATGCAATATGCTTCAGCCGACTATTCTAAGTGAGTTAAGCGTCGGTTTATTGCGCTGGAATTTTTTCACTTGGATGCAAATATCCAAAGAATCTTATTTTTGACTAAGCTATATGATTTCATCAACGTCCATGTATTTCTTCAATTTTTTTCCCATCATTACTAATTAGCAACTGAACATACTAATTGAATTATTTCAAAATTAGATCTGTCTCTGCTTTGTTCTATACAAAAATTGTATGCAATATTCAACAAATAAGAATTAATCATTCATTACCATGTTATAATTACAAATAATCCTAATAAAAATATTTTTTATTTGGAAAATATTTAATTATTTACTGAATTCTAAATTAAAACGTGAATTTTTTGAATTGTTGATAAATTATATGATTTCACATATAATATGATAAATTATGATTTCAAATTTTGATAAAAGTAGTATTTTAAATATATTGAAAACGAAATTGAATAAGCTTACGATGAATCAATTCAGTGAGAAAGTTAAAGCAAAATGTTTAAAGTGATAAATCTATTACAATAAATAATATTACAGAAAATTTTGCAGTTTAATTTTAATGTAACCAGCAACTTATTATACATCAGATTTATACTTGATTTATTATTCTGGAAATACACAATTTTTTTAAACAAAATGTACAAATAAGTTTTGGATTATATACAAATATCATCGATTTTTCTCAAAGTAAGTTTTTTAATCTGAAAATTTTTTATTTTTAAAAAATTTGATAAAGAATATAATTTAACAATTAAACAAAATTTGTGGAAAATGTATGAAGCTCCCAAAGATATGTGCATTAATTTTAATAAATAATTTCTCAAATCAAAAAAATATGGGAAGTAGCCCCAAAAAATATCAAAATATAAAAATCACTTATAGTATGATATGCTTTATGTAGATAAGATGACTCATGGATATCTTCAAACTTCTAGATTGGAGTTTATTTAAATACGATAACCCGTTAAGGACATATTTAAATACATCTGAAGAAACAAATCTTTATTTAAAATTTGGGAAAATTTTCTAAATGCCAAAAAATGAGTGTTTGGTCAAATAAATGAATTTTTTTAACATATTTTTTAAAAAAATCCGAAATTCTGGTTGGTTTCAGGACAATAAAATCGTAAATTTCATATTTTTTATAACATCTGTTAATTAAACTGCGCCTGATAATAAATGCTTATAGTCAATTAAAATTCAGTTATAAAGAATTTATCCTCCTGCTAATTTTCATAGAAACTTAAAATTGTAAACTTCTAACAGTTTTTTGAATCTTTAAGATTTTAATTTTTAAATTTGAAACAATATAACAACTTCAAGTTTTTTAATATGTTACCTATCAAAAAATATTTCCAATGTTTAAAATATTTCAAAATGATTGAGAAACTATTAAAATTATTTTTATTTGGAACATATTTAATTATTTACTGAATTCTAAATTTTAACGTGAATTTTTTGAATTGTTGATAAATTATATGATTTCACATATAATATGATAAGTTATGATTTCAAAATTTGATAAAATTGGTATTTATATCCAATCCAATATATTGACAAAGAAATTGAATAAGCTAACGATGAATCAATTCAATGAGAAAGTTAAAGCAAAATGTTTAAAGTGATAAATCTATTACTATAAATAATATAACAAAAAATTTTGCTGTTTAATTTTAATGTAACCAGAAGCTTATTATACATCAGATTTATACTTTATTTATTATTCTGGAAATAAATTCTTTTTAAAAAGAATGTACAAATAATTCTTGGATTCTATACAAATATCATCGTGTTTAATCTGAAAATTTTGAATTTTGGAAAATTTGATAAATAATATAACTTAACAATTAAACAAAATTTGTGGAAAATATATAAAGCTCCCATATAAATGTGCATTGCTATTTTATAAATAGTTAATTAAATAAAAAAATGGGAAGTAGCCCCAACAAATATCAAAATATAAAAATCAATTATAGTATGATATGCTTTATGTAGATAAATTGACTGATGGATATCTTCAAACTTCTAGATTGGGGTTTTTAAAAATATGATAACCCGTAAAGGACATAATTAAATATATCTGCCGAAACAAAGCTTTATTTAAAATTTGGAAAAACTTTCTGAATGCCAAAAAATGAGTTTTTTGTCAAATAAATGAATTTTGCTAACAATTTTTTTTTAATTCCGAAATTCTGGTTTCTTTCAGGACAATGAAATCGTAAAATTCATATTTTTTATAACATCTTTTAATTAAACTGCGCCTGAAAATAAATGCTTATAGTAAATTAAGATTCAGTTATTAAGAATTTATCCTCCTGCTAATTTTCATAGAAACTTAACATTGTAAACTTCTAAAAGTTTTTTGAGTCTTTAAGATTTTAATAGCTAAATTTGAAACAATATAAATACTTCAAATTTTTTAATATGTTACTTATCAACAAAAAATATACAATGTTTAAAATATTTCAACATGATTGAGAAACTTTTTTTAAACTCTTGTCAGCAAATATTAGATAATCGTATAAATTATCTCTATAAAAAGTGTAAGGACATTTGATAAATGTTTTCTTCAACTAAAGAACACTGAACATATAAAAATTAATACTCAATAACTATGATACTTCATTTTTAGTATAATTTTTGATAATTGATATTAAGTTAATTAAAATTAAGTCAACATGAGATTAAATTTAACATTATTGGGCTGAATCTCATATTGTGTCAAGCACATCCAAATATGGAGTTATAAATCTGTAAATTTTTGTATAGAAGCAAATTTGGTTGCTTGTTTCTACCATTGAACAATTGGGTTTTGTGTAATATGTTGCAAACAATTCTATATGAGTACATAATAAAGTCAGTTTGTTGCATCTATTTCCAATTGCAGGATTTAATTAGAAGCAATAATTTTACTTCATTAAGATTATTTTTATTTTTTATTTTTTCGAATTTAAATATTTATTTTTGCATCAGTCATTTTAATTTGATTATAAATTTTATAATCAACAATTTTATACATTTATATATTTATTTTCATTATCTTCGATATAAAAAATTGATTTGTACTTATATTCGCTTTTAGCCAACATTTGATTTTATTACATATCTTACATATTTTGAATTTTTAGAGATTTTTTTCTTATATTTAATTATTTTGGAAATGTAATTATATTAAAATAATTAAATAATAACCAAATTTTAATTTTTTTTTTCTGTGTCATTTATTTATATTTAAAATCATTTCATTTAATATTAATGTCATCAACTTTAATATATCAAATAATAAACATGTATATACAAAATTATGCGAATAATTTTGAATAAAAGATTACATATATATATTAAAATCAAAAAATAGTGAGTTGTTTCAAATTGTTTCCTCTATTTATTATAATGCATACGTTTAGAATAGCATACAACAGTGTTTTTTGATATATTACTGTACAATTCCTAGCAAGTTTTTATGAATAGTGAGTGTATTCATTGCATCATACAAATATATTCAATATGTCACTAACAAATTCATTTTTGCCATGCAATGATTTTGCAATAATTCCGTTAATAAAATATTAGAAATAAATAAATAAAACTGCATTGACAAAAGGATGTTAGTAAATTGTCAATGCATCATATTGAATTTGTTAATTTTGTACATAAGAAATAAATTATAATATTCTGCTTTGCAATTTTAGTTTCTCAGATTCTATATCACAAACATGTTTTTGCAAATGTAGCTTTGGGCAAAGCAAGGTTTAAGCTCAATTTGATTTTAAACTTAAGTTAATATAGATTAAAGAAGTATCATATTCCATTACAAAATATTAGGAGTTATAAAACCAATCAATTTTTATTTATTAAATTTCAAATCAACTTTTGATTCCATTCTACTTTAACTTTTAAAATAAATCATTTGTGTGTTGAGACATAAAGTGATATTAATATACAGCATTATAAATATATTGAAATATATAAAGAAAGCTCATATGTTAATATATACTTACACTTAATCAACTTAAATATATCTTTCAATCATTTTACATTATAGCTTACCCTTATGTGATAAACCTGAACATTAATACTTATCACAAAGTATCAATGACGAATTTGTGATATTTTTATATAAAAGTGCTCACTAAATTTTGATAATTTGAACTTTGCCATATTTTGTATGAAAACAATTTAAATCTGTTAATAAACTAATCATAATTAATATTTTTCTGATGGTGTTTATTTAAACTGAATATCTACATGTTAAAAAGTAGATTTAATTTAGCTATCAAATGATATGATTATATAATACTATTATTCCAGGTTAATTTAACATCGCAAATATGATTTATAGACCAACAAAATAACATTGATAATATAAATTTTACTACAAAACATATTTCGTTTCTCACATATCTTCTGATTTTTGATTATTCAATGTGTAAAATAATTATACTTACAAGAAATATGTATATCTTTTTATTTGCGTGCTTTTTCAAACAAATGAAGATCAAATCTTTCAATTGTATACTGAGATGGAAAAAAAAGACTACAAATCCAAACCTAAAAAATGTTGAGATAAAAAATGCTAACAAAACATAATCATGGATAAATGTGATGAGAACACAAACATTAAAATTTATACATATCAATTGAAAAATAAATATTAAATATTTAATATTAAAAAAAGTTTATTATGAAATCTAATATGCATGTGATGTTTAATCGACTTTATCTAAGAAATTAAATATTAGCTTTTGGAAGCAATATATATTTAATAATGATTTTTCATGTTAAGCATATAATTTACAATTTGTAATAATATTATACATTAAAAAAAATTATGTTTATATATATTTATTTAAATAATTCAAATTATTATGACATTCGTTAAAACATATATCTTGTTAAAATTTTTCTAAATATTTTTTTATTTCTATGAGTCTATGGATCTCATATAGTTTATATCATAGTATTGATTTTTAAACGTACTACAAAAGTTTTGGATTCATGACTTTAATGTGCAATAATATGGAAATAATTTTTTTTACAATTTCAAGTTTTTTTTCAAGCTTATTTCGAGCATAAATACATTTTGAGTTTTTTGAAAATATTAATATGTTTAACTTTTACGATTAAAATAAAAAATATCAATCAAATTTAATTGAATCATTGAAGAATTGTAAATTGGAAAAGTTCTCTTTTAAACACAGAAATTGAAATTCCACAAATTCCAATTGTGTTTTTTTTATTATTATCTGAAAGTCATGATGTTATGTTATTCTATCCAAAATATTTTGAACATTTCAAAACCTAAGAACTTGATTTGAATATGAAAGAGTTATTTTATTTTATTTCACTTGAATTAATTAAGAAAATACATGTGTGATACTTAATATAAAAATTACAGTTGTCAAAAAATTTAAACAGAATAGATGAAATTCATAAATTTAAGATTACAGATTTAGCACTAGTTATTTTTCACCATAACCCTATGCTCGAAGACTCTTTTTAAAAGGTACTGTATAAATTGACAAATTTTGACTTGTATACCCTCAACTCTGATAATCATAGTATCACTTTTAGATCAAAAGAAGGTTCAAAGTGAATCATGCTAATTGCAATATTTGCTGTAATTGATGTATATTTGGTGCATGATCATACGAGTGAATGGAGATACCACCACAAAATTCCTACAAGACTACGCAAAGGGGGTTTCACTTTTTTGCATACTATTTTACCAACTGTTTATCCATTTCTATAAATAGTATTGGGAAGTTAAATCAACATAATAATGATCACATCACTTTCTGCTTCTTGAGGCCATAATATACCAGAAAGACAAATTAAGCCCATATAGTTAGTGTATGTCATTTGCATTCAAACATATTTCCATTGCGGAGCCCATCTACCCTCCTTCCTACTTGATGGTGGGGTCTTCCCATCCTTTTGGCTATACTGATTAGTACTCAGTCGTCTTTTCTTACTCTGTGTTCATGATTTTGGACATTTGTCGTGCAGCCCTGCTAATACAATGGACAAATTGGAAGTGACATAAGACGATAGTAAGAAATTAGAAGTTCAGACAGGGGAGAGGAGAAGATTTGGGAATGTCATAATCACGTCCGAAAGTGGAACCTGCTCTGCTTACACACCAAGGTGGTGTCGCGTAGTAGTCGTTCATATTTTGATACTCAGTCAGTTCATCGGGGTAAGGCGAAAACAAGGGTTTAGGGTGCAGTCAATCTGTCGATCTCCACTTTGAGTTTGACAGTCCCATTGGTCATATCTTGTGAGATGAGTGTGACAGAGCTACATGTCCCGGAGCATGGTCTATTACGGTGGAGCCTGATGGTCGTAAAATTTGGGTGCCGGTTTGAACATTGAAAACATACTTGCTGCAACGAAGAGATTGCTCGGTGGTCTCGAGGTACGTACGTGTCACAGGCTGGCATTGGACTTTCTGTTTTTGACAACTTTTGTTCTCAATTCTGGCCAGAATCTTACTGGTAGAGGACGGTGCCTTTCCTGTTGTTTGAATTGCGTCGATGGCCAATTAGAGAAGGTGAGCAGTCAATTATCTTATCACGCTGTTGGGTCTTGACCTTGTCCGAGTTTGCAACTGAGTTCTTCTGACTTGAAGCATTTTCCCTGTGTCTACCGATCGCCTCCATATCCATGAATGCTTTTCATTCACTTGTATTGTCATTTAATTTTGTACTTTCCATCACCTTAGTACTGAATCTGCTGATCACCTATCTGGTGTCAACAGATAGGCATTTTTGAGTTGTGAATAATCTGCTTGGCTTTGATGTCGGGGTCGGGGTCAAGGTGTTCGTCCACCATCGGTGATTCCGTGATGGTGCATGCCCTCCGCATAGATAAGACATGGATCCAGGATTGTGTATCTCTTGGTTTCCGAAATGGTTGCACTTTTTGATCGCCAATATTCTTCATTGAAAAGAAGAGGTCTGTGTTTCATGGGTGTTAACAACACGATATGATCCCGATAAATGACATCGTTCCATTCGGAATCCGATCTCACCTACAGGGTATGCGAGGTGCAATCGAATGCCGGGTATATTAATGTGGACTTCAAGAAACGACGTAAAAGGATAATGTGATCCAAATCTGCAGAAGACATGTGGCGAGATTTAAACGCTAGAGAGTTGGGGGCAATACGACCGGGGCGCGTCATCACGAATGTCAGCTCACGAAGACTTCATAGTTTAGAGTTGAGCACGCAGAAAGAGATTGTGAGCGACTACGATGGTGGTATCAATAATCTGCAAGTAAATTTTTACCCCTATTGAGACAGATTTCATGTGGTGCGTGTACAGCTTGACCCATTGTCTAATTGCAACCCTTTATGTTTGTTTCACATCCTTCAACTTTACACCTTGCTCAATCATGTACCGGCGGATAAAATATATGCTCCGTTGCTTTCTAACTGTTAGTTCATTGGGACAGGTAGATAGGACCGAAGGACGCTACCTGTTAGCCGGATCATCTGATGGTTCGGTGGGATGCTATGATACACTTCATCGCACAAGTGTCGAGTCACATTCTCGCTCCCACATCCACGATGCTATTTTCAAAGTGGATAGGAGAAATCCGAGGGGGCACAAGTATGCGGTTTCTTCTGTTCAGTGGTATCCCGTCGACACTGGCCTTTTCGTTACAGGTTCTTTCGATCACCATGTTAATGTGTGGGATACCAACAACCTTCAAGTACACCCTCATCTCTATAATCCTGCAATTTTGTTCATCACGTGGATTATATGAAAAATACTCGTTAGCATGTATGTCAAGTTAATTGAGCTATATCATATATATGAGAATTTGATCCATTGCATGGTGAACCTTTACTACGTACTCCGGAATGTAACATAGACGTGCAACCTAGGAGTTTGTGAAATCTCAACATTTTATTTGCATTCTGCAGGCTGAACTTCAGTTTGACATGCCAGGGAAGGTTCATTCTGTTTCAATGTCACAAGTAGCCACTTCTCATATGTTGATAGCAGTAGGATCAGAGGATCCGATGGTGCGCCTTTGTGATATTGCCACTGGTGCATGCACTCATACCCTGGTCGGACACAGAGGTATTATATTAACGGGTTTTATTTTTGGGACATCAAGTATGTGGACATCATGGACAAGTTTTTTTGTGCTTAGGTGTAACGATAAATTACAAGTGACATAGTAAAATGTCTTTGTTTTTCACTGACGTTATATCTATGTTCTCAGATGCTGTTTTGGCTGTTCAGTGGTCTATTTCCTGCGAGTGGACCCTGTATACCGGAAGTTGTGATGGTGCAATTCGATTTTGGGACATAAGACGAGCTGGATCTCATAAGGTTCTAGACCAGCATAACTCTCAGATGGGCAGGCGACACCCTGTCTTGAAGTCTACTCCCGATCGGGTATCTTTCGACAATCTAGACTAAGAACTAGAGTCACGTATTTAATGCTTATAAAAAAATGACGTGAGCTCAATCTTCCGGCTTGAAAATGTCATCCGTATCAGCAGTGCACGTTGTGTGGTTTCTTGTATTTCAGTCAATTTATCCTAGGAGCTTTCGTGGTTCAGGTGCGGCCAATACCAAGGGATGCTGCCAAAGAGTCACCGACGAAACTGCTAAAGCCAGCCTCTGGGGACAAATCTACGAAGACGTCCTCGTCTCACGGAAAATCAATAGCTAAGAAAGTTGCGACTGCTAAAAGATTACATCCAGGAATGGCCTCGGTGGAGAACCGTGCAACTGCCCACTACGGAGCAGTCACTTCCCTAACACCTACAAACGACGGTCAATTTCTAGTAAGTGCAGGTGTGACTATGGTCCTCTTGACTGTGAAAGAAGCATATGAGTTAGGACTTTCTGCTACTTCATTACCATCAATGCCTCCAGTTTCGTATCAGAAAGTGTGGACCTTGAATGAATGAAGTACTTGCCACTGTGCTAAACTGCGTATCCTGGCAATAGTAAGACCTTTAAAATGATTGTACAGGGTGATTTCTGGAGGCTGTGAGAGTGATACGCTAATTGTGATACCAAGTTCAGTCCTTCCATATGAAGCATTTTTCTGTATTTGAGGTTCATGAGTGTTTTGCGTCAGCATATCTTTGCAGGTTTATTAGTTTGGATCCCAAGGGTCGATTATAAGGATCATGATTGTACTCCTACAAAAGTTGCTTTTTTTGGCTTTGATCAGGTGCTGATTCGAGGGTCAAGTTGTGGGACGTTGATTCGGGCTGTAACACTTTGGTGAACTACGAAAATACGCGCATGCAGAGAAGTAAAGCAACTCAGCTTGCTGTGTCCCCAGATTCCTCTCTTCTGTTTGTTCCAACATCGACTGTAATTCGGGTATGTTCTGGCTCGCAAATTGATAGTTCCTGGCGAAATTTTACATTCCATTTTAAATGTAACAAAAACATTTCAAGGAGGACACCCTTTCTTTTCTTTTTGTAACAAAAGAAACATGTGCTTAAGGTTGAGTTGATCATTCGAGTCATTTTACGAAAATCAACAACTCTGGTGATAGAAAGTGCAAGTTATGCTTTAGGAACCGAGCACTTTTTAAACTGCTGCCAAGGATCTGGACTTCACTGGCAGAACATTTAGTGTATTGATTAGTCTAACAGTGCTGATTAGTCTAACACTGCGCGAGGTCTGTGAACTTCAGGCTATGAGATCGACATTATATGGAATAAATCTGCAATTTTTTCGGATTTGTACCTACAAGAAGTGATGATAGTCAGTGGCTTCGAGCATGCATGAGTGAAACTTTGAATTAGTCTATAGACTTGGCAAGCCGATGACATTGTAAAGAATGGTCATCTCATTAGATGGGGTGAAACTTGTGGTAATAGACTCCATTTTGATGTCTTACAACTACATCTTGGAGCCGAAGCTCGAAGAGAGTGCATTCTTACTTTTCTGGCTATGAGTGACTATTCAGGTCTACAATTTGTGGACTGGCCGTGTGCTAAAGACGTTACGTGGGCACTATGACACGGTCAACTGCTGCGAGTTTCATCCCTATGCACAGGTAAGGAGAAAACGGTCTCAGCTATTACTGAGTGTTGGTGCCAGTCTGCAGTTGTCCATGTCTTTATTCTTCAGTGCCTAGATGAGGTCGCTCCCAGTGTACACACTTTCTTCAATTATATATTTCAGGAAGCATCGAGTGGTCCAATTAAAGTTATATGATTTGTTTTTTGCAACTGTGTCCAGGAAATGTATAGTGGAAGCAATGATCGGAAGATTCTTCTCTGGAGCCCACCCCCACCAGTCGAGGTTGACGAAGACGAGGTTTGTTTACTTCATTCTGCTTCTGAAACCTTGTGTTTGTGGAGAGTTTTTGACCTGATTTTTTCTGCATCTGCACCTTTCTTTAACTGGTCTAAACTCTTATTTGCCCGCAACAAAGTTCCGCGTTGTCATGCAAAGTGGATTAAGTTCAATCTTGTCATATTATCTACCAATCATTCTTACTGACTGGACTTGCAGTTAATAAACCTGTAAAAGACTTGCTTTTCTTCCTAGTCTGTAATGTCTAGCAGGTATTTTTCGTTTTCAATATTATTTCTAATTTTCGAAGTAGTGACTTAAAGAGATCCAGGCTAACTGCAGCACTGATGTCCACCCACTAAATGACTATGGGCTGTTCGCACGTACTCAATGAATGCTGTGATTATTCCTTTCAACCATACTCGCTACCTTCTATGTTGATCGAGTTAGAGCTGTGGAAGGTTTTGACTCGTCCGCGAGGACTTGCGATGAAGTCACACAGTTCATGTCTTTGAGCGATTGGGTAGCACCTTATTTGGTTTAAGTGGAGTGATATTGATCGCACCATGGACGGGATTTCACTCCGAAGAGGATTTATGAATAAGCTACTTGTTTTTCCAGCCTTCTCTTAATTTTTCCTGTTACAGGGAAACTTAAGAGTTCCTTTCATTCTCAACATGTATTCTTCATGTATAGTCAGTACTTCAGTTTTCTGGTCAAGGTCTTCTCTAGATTGTTTGCACATCCCGTCGTTACGACTAAGGAGTATCCATTAAGTATATCTTCTATGAAGCTGACGTCCTGGAGCTTATTTTTAGAGCTCTTTGCTTATCATCATAAAAAATGGGTCATATAAACCATGTTATGTGATTCATTAGTTTTTTACTGCTAAAGCCTATGATAAGCTCTCTCAAAGTATATCTGAAGATGCTAATTGCATTCAATCACTTGATGGTCAAAGTATTACTTTTTACCTAAGGCCTAAGACTTGTATTCCATCACTTGATGGCCAAGTGTTACTTATTCACCTAAGGCTGAAGACCTGTTCTGACTAATCTGCTGATCATCTTGTTTACAATGAGGACATTTATCTTCCCTGGTTGGTGACCATCGTTTTTTACAAATATTGGCCGCCAAGAAGGCATCCCTTTTGCTCACTGATATGGGCCAAGAAGTTTGATGGGTATACGAGACGATAATCGACCCTTGTATGATGTGTTTCACGATTGGACTACGTACTTCTCTAAGTCTTGTGCGCAGCTTTGGGATTGTATATTACTGCCATTGTGGAGGACACTTTGATGGTAAACTTAGTTGCATCCATTCTCAACGCCATTATCGAAGGTGGCCGCATGAGGTCTAGGTCTTTACATAGTAATATGTCCATATCACTGGAGACTTGAAACTAAAAAGGAGGTTGTTACACGTGTAAGCGGTATCAAATGGCGGTATCTGGAGGGTTCACCTGATTATTTAAAGCGAAGGGCATGTAAGAAGTTCTTCCTGAGGGAAGACAGAGGAAACCATCTGCCATGGCTGTGTTTAGCTACAGGAGAAGCAGAAAATTGCTAGACTACACCAGAGTGTGTGTGCCAGAATATGGGCCAAACCATTTGAAACTGTTAAATTAAGAAAGTTGTTGCAAAAGGCAATGAATGCTTCTTCACGGAGCTTTAGAATTGGATCTGTGACGAGGAGACAGATTAGTCAAAGCTCTGCATCCAAGTCAGGGGGCACCCACTTCCGAGCCAAACTTTGATATGATGTGAGATTATTGAAGGAGCTGGGGTAAAATACCAGCTGTATTTCTACTCTGCTGCTTGTTGAGTCTTCAAAACACATTTTTAGCTCAAAACTCATTGTCAAGGGTGGTGATGCGGTTGATATGCGCAAGATCTACACTAAGTAGTTATTTCTGACGAAGTAAGGACGTCTAGGAAGGAGAGAATCGGCGAGCAGGGGTTTTGCATGGATCGGTGACTGCATTGTTGCAGAAAGCGTTCTATCGTATCTCATTCCCTATCCAACCTGGTGTGAGTAGCAAAACTCATCCCCCAGAGATGGGAGCTTTGTGCCGTTGTTAACCCGTCAAGCAAGGTGAGCGAGAAGATCTTTGGAGTTACATAGTCCTTACTTCGTGGGCAAAATATTGTACCGAAACATCTCATATGACTGCGGATACAAACGGTGCTACTAGGCAGGTTTCTGGCTACTGGTCTTAGCCAGATGTCCTCACATTTATTCGTGGATACAAGGCAGGGAGGAGCAAGGGATCCCATCTAAAGATTTTCTCTGAACTTGAAATAGATATAGGACAAAATTAAGGGAGATGGTTTTTTTTTTTGGGTGCCTTTTAGAGGGAAATGGTGATGTGTTTGGGGAGCTGTATAAGACTAAGAGCACGGTCTTGTTGAGTGGACACAGAAGTGATGACTTCAAGCACACAACAAGGAGTGAGCCTGTTTTCCCCATCATTCAGCATTTTCTCCAACTCGTTCTGGTGGAAATAGAAATCAGTGGTCTAGGCTTTCAAGTGCCTTATACACCAACATTGCTGTTGGTGGATGAGAGCAGTCTGGAGTGGAAACCGTAAGAAATGATTTCGTGATCTAAATTGGCCGGATATCTGCAACAAGGAGGCAAATGTCCAGAAGTGTGTATAAGACACACTAACTTCTGGGCAAGCGTTGGGCAAGCAGAAGATGAAGACTAACAGTGTTACCAGGGTCACCTCGAGATATCTCGTGCGTCTACTCTCACCAAAATGGGCGTTGATCTCTTTCAAGGCTGTACGTGCGAGGCACCGGAGTATTGCCGAGGAAAGTGAATGGACACTGCAAGCTCCTCCTGTTTTAAGTTACTTCTAATGAGATCGAGTGGAGTGTAGGTCTGCTTACCACTACATCTGTTCTGGATTCTGGTTCTGCAGTTCGGAAAGCCAACACTTGTAGAAATACTCGAAGTGGTACAGTTGAAGGCTTTCTGTTGTATGGTCATGGTCTTCACAAGCAGAAAGGGTAGTGGTATAAGTGAATGGAGGGGAAACCTTAGAGATAGCAAAGTGATGTAGATTGTCACACCGAATTGAAGTAACGGCTCCTGATCTTTACAATGAATGTTGGTGGGATGCTGCATAGGAAAGGGTCAGAGGAAGGCGAGCCATGGTTTTTATAAGGTCCAGGAAAGTTGTGGGCCGCGGGATGAAGAGGAAGCGGGGTTTGAGAGTTGTCTCACCTAGTAATTATCATTAGCACAGCAGCGGGGACGCTTCACTTACATCAGACCTATCTCTCTAAGACCTCACGTGGTCTCTCTACCATTTCCAAGGAACTCTAGGCTTGGGAACGAGGCTGCTTAAGTTTCGGATGGGCCTCAGTTATTAGCACAGCCGGATGGGAGATCATCCTCTTAATGGTTCACTTATTCTTGAGATAGACGATGATCCATTCTAGCCAGTGGGAGATCTTTTGTGGCGTTCTCTGTGGCCGTCTAACTGTATGTAGAAATTAAGTGTCGTAGCTTGGATACAAAGGAGATGGCTCCCTCAGTTGCAAGATCATGTTCTGGGGCCATTGTGATTTATGTGGTGAAAAGTTCTTAGAATGGATCTTGAAAAATCTCTAAGGAACTAATTTTCTCTGCTGCTAATTATCTATCCTCTGTATGCCCAGTGTTTAATGCGGGTGACGCTATTTCTTCTCGGTCACATCTTATATTCGGGGCAGTAGGCCTGTCTCACATTCAGTTTTAGGAATCTATTCTATTACGAATGCACCACATGAGCACCAATGCTACGCAGCCAGTGCGCGTAGACTATGCTCTTCAGGATATGACAGGAAAATGCTGATGAATGCTTTTGAAGTACATTATACGGCTGTACTTCCAAATGCTTACTAACTCCTTGATTAATCTCTTCAAGATTGGCCAGGCATACGTCGTTAATGCCTTTCTGTGGTAATTTTTTGACATCTGTCTTGCTTTAGAATTTATTCGCTCGAGTGGTAAACCTACCATATCTGCAATTCTTGAACTCTGTAGATGTCAACTAGTTTTGGTGAACGTATTTCCAGAAGCTCATAAAGGTTGATTCAAATCCTAAACCTTTTATCTATATTGCGTAATACTAGGATGCTGAAGATGGTAAAAGCAAATCATGCAAGCATAAATAAGGAGACGATGTAGATCTAGGCCTTAATACTCGGTTATGTTGTCATACTCGGAGTGACATACAGTTTCGCCTTCGACCCGCAGAGAAAGAGATTTTACGATTTTTAACTCTCGGGACTTATTTATCTGTCATCTTAGCATGTCCCAGAACTTGGTGTCGAGAGATAATGTTTGTTTGCTACGCTGTCATGCACATTCTTACAGCTCAAACACGGACAGATGTATTTATTTTCTTGCAGCCTCTTGCGAAGGGCAGTAGCTGTGTGACATATCTATCTGTACGATAAGTCTGTTAGTCAGAGTAATGAGTTTCGTTGAGCCATGATCTCCAGTATAGTGTATTACTGTTTTTTATGTACTCTTTCAAGAACTCAAGTCCGTGATCTCAAAGTTGTTCCCCTCGCACTGTGATTCTTGAAATCCTTTGGTTCCTCGGTTCCTTTGATCATTTGTCAAGTCCTGCACATGCTCACTCCCAGGGTATAGCTTTTCTCTGTTGGTCGGTGCTTTTGTACTTCCTATGTCTGTCTGCTTTTGGTCTTCTTCTTAATCACTGTAATTCATATAATGAGATTACAGTGATTAAGATTGTGGACCAAATTGTGGACTAATATAAGTCTTTAAGGACGTACATCAATGTTTGATTTCTGAAGTATATGATATGTAACTCAAAACTCACAACTTTGGTTTGATATCTTGGTATCTCTTTGCTCTGCAACCTGCAAAGCCTCTTGAGCAATGTTCTCGTTCTCGTCACTTAAAGTGGCATTATACTTAGCACCACGCCATCATATTGTTTTTCTGTTGGAAGCTTCCACTCTCCATTGAATAACTTACCTTGTTGTTTGACACTCGATCAGAAAGAGGGCAAAGACGGCGGAGCTAGCGAGAAAGGAGCTTTTAAGGCCCGTCCCGATGAAGATGCGTGGAGCGACTGAGGGTTCCCAACAGATTTTGGAGTATACACTTGTATATATAACCTGTGATCAGGACAGGGACCTTTCCTTGTGTCGAGAATGACGGCCATGTATCCATCGCTCATCGCGATCACTTGACATTTCATTTCACAGGAGCAAAATATGGATCAGTCGGTCCGAGGTTGGGTACCAAAAAGTATATACGAGTTCAAGGAGAGAAGGTTATGAAACGAAAGTCCATACTTCAGCTACACCATAGAGTTTTGTTAATATTTATTAAGCAGGAACTAACAGCTCATGGACTTCTTGATAGGTAATGGAACTAGCGGATTACATTTCGCTATTCGGAATATTCGATCTAGATATCTTACTATTCTTAGTCGGGTCTCAGTAAAGATGCGATATAAAATGAGTCAGGAAATATTGTCCAGTGGATTTCAACAAATGCATGTAGATGTAAGCGTGAGCTTTAAAATTGTACATTTAAGATGATATGATTTTACCAGTAAGTTGAGACTAAGGCTATTTCAGAATGTTGCCGTATTCCTTCTTATGTTCATCAATGGAAAACCCTGTCATCCCCGTCTTTAAGGGCCGCAAGAATGCTGGTTCAAATGCTGGTAGAATACCCAGCCTACCTTACAGCACAATACCTTTCCATTCAACGTATACAAGTCGATCGATCGTTTCTATTGTTCAGCCCTGAATTGTGGGAGTAAACACAGAAGCAGACACCTTTGTCATGCTTGCTGTGTTAATCTCCACGTGCTTCAGATTGGGTCTCCCATGTCCTGTATCCAAGAGAAATGAAATTCTGAGCTTCTTGACACGAACCAGATTGGCGGAGGGTTTTGTAACAGATTCAGTCGTGTTACATCACCGAAGACGTGTGTGATCCGAGGAGTAGATTGGAGGGAAAACTTTGTCTCTCAAAGTGTAAACAACTTGGACGTGATTCTCCTCCAACCATTGTAGTCTCACCACGAGATGGCATGATCCCGTCTTTTTATCTAGTGGACACTATAGGTCGTGGATGCCCTTATTAGAATTATACTGAATGTGAAATTCAAGTTTCAGGTTGTCGTACTCTAGTGAAGCCATGGTTGATGTTATTTTTATGAAAACTTCTGATTCATATGAAACAAAGAAAATGGGAGAAAAACTTATCATGGCCGAGGTGTAAGCACATGAATCTTTGCCGGCTCTCAGCTAGTAGTGATGAAGGAGACTTGCTGGCCACATGTGCATCATAGGATTCACTTCATCAGACATGGCTGTAACTTACGATAGCTGCGAGCACGCCCTGTTAGTACTCTACGGACCACGGGGCTGTCCAAGCAAAGTAGAGAGGGCTCACCCGTGGGAGACTGTAGGTCCATTGCACGAATACAGGCAGGCCCCATTGTGCCATATATGCGGACAGAAAAGTCTTTGGGTTCGTAGAGAAGATTCATTTTGTTCTACAGTCGCTGTAGTTCGTGTGAGAAACACTCACACGAACACAACTTTTTTCTCGTGATTAAACAAGTCCACAATCCCCTTGGATGCTGGATATGATAAACCATTGGAGTCAAGGCACATGTGAGAGTTTGATTTCTGTCGTGAGTCTTAGTCAAAGACAAAAAGAGGTCTCCCAGTTGACCTGAAGCATGGCTGTCTTTCTTTCTTTTTCGTTCCTTTTTTAGATTCTAGATCGGAATTTCCTTCCCTCCTCCTCCTCCTCCTCCTCATACATTTTAAACTGCTTCTGTTCTCTTTCTTCTCCCATCCTTTTTGTTATTATCTTGTGTCCTCTCGGGATCAAAACTACTTCTGTTCTCTTTCATCGCTTGCTCGCTCCTCGAGCTGTTTCCAATACTCTACAAGCCCCAAGGCATGCGACTTCTGTCTTCCTGAGCCAGTTGACTTAGCCTAGGCTAGCCTAATCATGAGTGCCAAAGGCTACACTTCCTTTCCAGATTCCTTGACTGCTTCATGGAAGTGCTAGGAGGGCGGGTTTGTGAATCACGTTTCTATGTTCCATATATGCTGCACACGTCGTGAATGTCAAACTCCTCGGACTTGCAAGGATAATCCAGGACGGGGGTCAGTGTGAAATTGACTGTATTCCGAGAGCAAAGTCCACTCGAGCCCACTCCTGTTTTTCATTCCTTCTAATCTATTCGTTAGTAGTCTCCAAGGGGATCCATCTAGAACCTCGTGGCACATGCAACAGTGTCCGGGTATGTGATACACTAGCCCTTCCAGCTACGTTTCTGCACACATCAGAATGATCTCGCAGCTTGTCCTCACTTGAAAAATCCCACCATCTGCAAGTTCTTCCCGGATCAGTTCTACCACTTGTATTATATCATTGTTCAGCTGCAAAAAAAGGATCGAGGGATTTCAGAGATCTTCACAAACCGTCAGCTTTCGTTCATCGCTTTTGGAACTCCGTTCGTTATGCAAGAGGTGCGAGTCAAAAGTGAGCATGATGCAAAGTAGAAAAGTGATCAATCTTATCAGGCCATGATATTGCTGTACTCGTTCCCAATTCTTCACCTCATGGGCATGTTTCGATATATGGTAAGGATGCTGCATAGGTCCTTCGTCTAGTTCCTCATGCTGATTTCCACGAACTAGAGCCAGAGTATATGGAAGACAATCTTGTACTTGGATGGTTTGAAACAAGGCGGTCGATTCTCAGGTTTCGTTGCAATCAGTTAATCACACATTTCGATGAATCCTCCATATCCGCAATCACCGTTTGCCTCATGGAAGTAGATTTTTTTTTTCTATATTCCATGTTGTCGTACGTAGGTTTGATATTGATTTTGTACCATGATAAAACTTACACTTTTTGTCCAAGTATGTGACATCATCACTACAAGCTTCCAAGGGCAAGCAAGATGGTATCTATTGGCAATTATCACTTGATGCCACTAGGTTCAGTTTCAATGAGTCCAAGTGTTCTGGTCCACTGAAATTAGAGAAACAAATGGATTTTAGCATTCATGTGATTGGACTCAATTCTCAATACAAATCATCTACCCTTTATAGGTTGTTAACACCGCAGAGTAACACCAATGTAAGTATGCACAATGTAATGAATTTTGCCTTTTCGGTATGTTGAAGAAAAGCAATCAATAAGCCTTTACTACTTCGTGATGCACATGTAGTTGCATTTGGTATGATTGACATTACTGAAGAGAAAGAAGTACAGTAGCAAATTGAGGTCAAGACGTTCACGGCTAGATCCAATAAAGAACAATGATTAATCAAATGAATGATCTATAGTTTTATAGTTTTTTAAATTTTATGAGATTTAACAAGCTTTTGAGTAAATAAAATCTGAAATATTCCATTCTCTAAACTTTTTATAAATATTCTATTTCATAAGAGTAAAAATTCACATTGCTAGATTTTTAAATCAGTTTGCATATGAGCTTTGACATGCAAACATTACTCTTTAGTTTTGATGTAAAAACAAGTTATCATCAATTATTTCTTTGAGACGAAGAGAAGGGCAAAATGAATGAATATAATATTTATACATATTCTGTTTATGTATTTCAATCTTTCTTTCTATTTATCGAAAGTAACTTGCAAGCTTTATAACAATTTCAATTTACTCCAACAATTCTAGTCGAATTATGCAAGACATAACAAAGTTAAAGATTTTATCATCAATGTATAAAATATCATCAATGGATATATATCTGATTATTCAGATACTTTTTGTGGATCCAGTATTAGATTAGAGTATATATTTCATTACAATGTTGTAAAGTCATTTTCCAAAATCATTACACTCATTATCAAACATCAAATGAGAATATTCATTGAATCACAAATGCTAAACTTAAAATCATTTTTTGGTCTTGATGCTAAGCTAAACTAGGTCAAGAAAATCTCCAGAATTGTTTTCTCGATTCTTAATTGAAACTATACAATATATAGCATCTTCAACTGAAATTAGGGGTTAGGGTTTAAACCCTAAACCCTATAAACCCCACAATAAGAGATAATCATAGAAAATCATCACACAAATAACTTGACATCTGCATAGAATATGTAGGTCAAAAAATACATGTCACAATGAAATAAACATGGATAATATACTTGATTTTCAGTTCTAAATCTCACTATCAATCACACATATGAACTTCACTCATTTTAAATGTAAGATATTTCAAAATAACACTTTATTCACAAAGAAAATAATGAATGAATTACATATAGCATAATTGGTTATATTTTGTTTCAGAAAAAATTATCAGAGAAATTAAACGAATCAAAATTTTAATGGTTGGTATTATTCGATATGATTGTGGCATCCTTGTACTCAAGTAGTTACCTGGAAATATAGCTTGTGCGTTCCGGTAAGCCATGCATCAAACATCGAGATACAATTAAAATGTTCAAATATTTATTTCTTTCTAAAATTTAAAAAATGGGGAAATACTTATAGAAATTTTACAAGCCAGAGCTTTCAGTCAAACCCAATCGAATTCATATTTCAAAGAAACCATTAGCTATTCTCACTCTTTTGAAGTTCGGTAACTATCTTACTTCAAAATCCCAAACAACCTAATTATAATTCTAACCCATGACTGTGTGAATGTGTGGATGAATGCCACTCCGATGAGAAAGTCACTAATTGCCGATACGATACATATACGCATCTATGCACAACGGTAATAAATCATGACTCTGGAAATCTAACTTCAAATTGAGATTGATTTACAAAACGTAGGAAGTAAACACATTTCATCTTTGGAAGGATGTTTTCTATGGATCCAATGCTACTGAACTACTTTACCGCCAAATCGCAACAAATCATTACTGGTCAGAATCAAGAGATAATTATCGTCAGTATCTTGTGGATATTCGCCTTCTTATTTTAGTACCGTTTGTGGCCAGAGTGCCATAGTATTTCGTGTGCTCTACATGTGTGCCAGGTCATCAAATCACTATGTGGGATGCTTGCTTCTCTTAAACCCCAAAGATCAAAGATCGATGGTACTAGAATTATTTCTCCGGTTTCGAGGTCTTTTGATTATTGCTCCATAGTCCACGACGGGTCCTTCTGTTCTCATTCTACTCGGTGAAGGTGTGGATTTCTTCGAGTATAAATCGGACTTATGAAGCTTCATTAGTGAACGCATTTTCCATTCCTTCATTATGAAGGGTGACAGGTAAAAGCAAAGGTAACGAGCACTCCTGTGCATAAATAACATCGGACGGTAGCCGAGGTCAGGACAAGGGAATGAAGAAGCTCGAATCCCAATGCCACCATGAACATACAGTCAAACAAAGGCAACATTCATCAGCCATGAAGATCACAGACACTCTCAATCATGAGAACGGCATGCGCACCCTGAACCCTCACATGAAATTCGAACGGCTTGTGCTCAATTAGTGCCGAGTGCTTTTGAAATTGATTGCTAATTCATTCTAGAATCAGGAGAGGAAAACGGGAAGCGATTGCAATTTGTGAGAAATTTAAAGTCTGTTGTGTGATCGAAATAAACATGAACATCGGTCGATCTGAATGAATGCGAACTGGACCGAGCGGCATGATTGACCGTGCTGGTATGAACTCGTGCCATCGGTCATGGGCCGACGAAGAAGAGCGGCGGCAGAAGCGGGAAAGAATGTGGCCCGAATGATAAAAGATCTTGTGAATTATCATAATTTGCATGTCGATGGGCGAGGTAATCATGCGCACACGACGCCACACGTTCTTCGGTAGCATTAGGAACACAATCATCCCTCTCTCGCTGCCCTCGCTCCCTCCCTCGAGAAGGCTATTATCGAATTTGTCATCTCTAGTGGCCGAGCCTGAGCCTGAGGCTGACCGCACTGTTCTGACATGACATGACATGAAATGACATGTCATGTCATGTCATGTCATGTCACCGATGGAATGCGAGAAGGAAGGCGTTGCATGGAATGGAATGGATTGTGCTGAGAATAGCGCACAGCCTGCATCAGCTCGAGCATCAGCAGCAGCATCATCAAGACAAGCAAAACGAGAAAGCTGACCCGATCCGAATC